GTATATATAGGAAGTGTAACAGGGTCATTCTTGAATATGTCACATGTGTGGATGTCACAATATTGCTGCACTATCTCATATTTTCAAATCTCTGTATCCACTCACCCCATCTGCTAGTCAAAAAAAAAAAACCTTTGTGACTCAGGTTTCAGTTTTCTCCTTTCCATAGGTGCCAACAGTCTCACATTTTGGGGAGTTTAGGAACCTGTCCTGCATTTTAAAAGTTTCACAACAGTTCAAACTTGATGGGTAGATATCAAGATGCAGGAAGAGACTGAGCACTTGGACCATGTACAGAGCTTCAGCTGCTATCTGTGCACGGTCTGCCTTGAGGGTGCAGTCTGTTAGTCATGCTATAGAAATATATACAATATACGTGGGATTCAGCTGATATACCTACAAAATAATAAATAAACAGAACATAGTGTAATACAGTTTAAATGAAAAATAATATTCCCTGCTACAAATTGCACTTATGATAAGTTGAAGTAAAATGCGCTCTAAAGGTGTCTCCCCCGAAGTTGGTGGAGGGCTAATATCTCCTTCTCAGGATCAAAGTATCACCCAGCATCAGGAACCATTCAGGACTCCGATAGGTAGATAAATAAATTTATTGTATAAAAAACAACAATGAAATTGGTATGGTCTTACCAGGCTCAGACAGCCATCTAGTTGTAAATTCATCCCAAGCTTTAGACAGGATAAACATTTTAACAAATTTTAAGTGTTTACTATTGAAAATCATAAGTTTGTTTAAAAACATAGTGTAACTTACCCTTTGACTGTCAGTGCATTACCAATATTCATCTGCTCAGGTGTGTGTTTCTAATGGTGTAATTGTATGTATGCCTTTTTCTGAAGGTGTATGGATGTTTGTGTGTCTGAGGGTGTAATTATATGAAAATGTGTTGTTTTATTTCTGAGGGTTTAATTGTGTGTTTCTAAGAATTTGAGGGAGTAAATGGTGAATATTTATTATACACTCAATAATTATTGTTACTTCAATTTCTAAAAAAAAACAATGACTAATGTTTATAAAGAGGATGTGTGTATGATGTGTAAGAATGCGTGTTGAGTTTGCGGGGTGGCTGTCAGTGCTGTGATGTGTATGATAGCTGTGTTTGACTGGTTGTGTGTGTTGTGGTTGTGGGGGATTTGTGTTTTGGCTGTGGGATGCCTATGTATAGCTGTGTGTGTGTAAGGGGTTGTGTGCGATGTTTATGGTTTTTTTTAACGTGTTGTTTGTTTGTTGCTGTGTATGTGTAGCTCTAAGTATAGCTCTGATAGAGGTTTGTGATTATATGTGAGGAAGCTGTGTGTTGTCTCCAGCTGCCTCACACACTGCAATTATTGTTTTAATGATGCACAATGATGTACACCATATGCTCTCTCAAAGAGCTGGTCAGGGAAATCTTTAGATTTCAGAACTACTTGCTAGTTTGTGTAGCAGCAGATAATTCCTTTGTGCACTCCATGTGCATTAGAAAATGCCTGAACATAGCTATGGAAGCTTGTGGGTGGGCCCAACTCTCCTGAAATAGCTTACTTAATTGCTCTTAAGTGTTACTGGACTTTTTTTTTTTTTAACCCCTTAAGACTGGAGGGCGTACTATTACGCCCTATTATAGGCGGATCTAAATGCCGCCGGGTAATAGTACGCCCTCCGGTCTTTCTGTACTTACCCCGCGGCATGTCCGACCCCCTGGAAGCCCCCCCGGCCATGTGAGAGTGAGGTCCTTGCGAGGACCTCACAATCACATGGCCGGGTAGGCTGCCTGCTGCATTGCCAGCAGGGGGGCTGCCTGTAATGACAGGTGGTCCCCCTGCTGGCTGAAAATAAAATTAATAAACGTTAAAAAAAATAATAATATACACTTAGATCATATATATATATATATATATATATATGTGTATATATATATATATATATATATATATATATATATATATATATATATATATATGATCTAAGTATATATATATATATACACATATACATACACACACATACACTGTCTAGGTGTATTTTACTATTAATATATATATAATGATATATATATATATTAATATCAAATTACATGTAGACTGATACTGATTAAATATATATATAATTATTGTTATATATATATTTATATATAATATAAAAAATTAAATATGTAAATACGTTAAAAAATAAAATTAAAAAAATAATTAAAAAAAAATAAAAAAATATATAGATGTATGTTATTTCGTTCTAACTGTATTGTGATATTAATATATATATATATATATATTTATATCAAAATACACGTAGAATGAAATAATATATATATATCTATATACATAAATATATACGTATATATCACTATATATATACCTATATATAAATAAAAATATTTTAAAACAATTATATATATATACACATATAGATTCACATACGTATATATATATATACATATATTAATTCTACATATATATTTATGTAATATTTTTACATAATTAGGTATCTTAATTAATTACAATTAGCGGGACCTGCCTGACAACCCATACCGAGAGTAAAGGGAATTTAATTTGCTAGCACTATATTTAACCCTATAACTTTCCAAGACACCATAAAACCTGTACATATGAGGTACTGTTCTACTCGGGAGACTTCACTGAACACAAATATTAGTGTTTCAAAACAGTAAAATGTATTACAACGATGATATCGCCAGTAAAAGTGAAGTTTTTTGCATTCACGCACAAACAGCACTTACACGGACGATATTATTGCTGCGATACTTTTTGCTGTTTTGAAACACAAATATTTGTGTTCAGCTAAGTCTCCCGAGTACAACAGTACCCCTCATGTACAGGTTTTATGGTGTTTTCAAAAGTTACAGTGTCAAATATAAGGCTTGCGTTTAATTTTTTTCACATTAAAATTCGCTAGATTGGTTACCTATGATTGAGACCCTATGGTAGCCCAAGAATTAAAATTACCCCTATGATGGCATACCATTTGCAATAGTAGACAACCCAAGGTTTTGCAAACAGGATATGTCCAGTCTTTTTTAGTAGCCACTTAGTCACAAACACTGGCCAAAATTGGCGTTTTTTGCATTTTTCACACACAAACAAATACTAACGCTAACTTTGACCAGTGTTTGTGACCAAATGGCTACTAAAAAAGACTGTACATACCCCATTTGCAATATCTTGGGTTGTCTACTATTGCAAATGGTATGCCATTATGGGGATAAAGTCCCAAAGGCAACATAACCTATCTGGCGAATTTCAATTTCAAATGTAACGTGCTATATTTGACCCTGTAACTTCCTAAAATGCCATAAAACCTGTACATAGGGGGTACTGTTTTACACGTGAGACTTTGCTGAATACAAATATGTGTATTTTATTGCAGTAAAAGCAAACAGTATTATGACATTGACAGTTTTTTTCATATTAAATTATGTTTCATAGCTAAATATTTGATATTAAATTAAAGGCCTGTTTCCCCTGAATAAAATGATATATAATAAGGATGGGTGCATTTAATATGAAAGAGGTGAATTACGGTTGGACAGATATGTAGCGCAAATGCCAGGTTTTGTTTACATTTTGTTTCGTTCACAACGTGTACATTTGGCTCCGTCCTTAAGGGGTTAAGGTTGACAACTACAGTCTCTGTTGCAATAATGGGTGAAGTGTAGGTTTCTACAATAGCTGCTGCCATTAAAGGGATAACTGTGGCTTCATTAAGTGTAGTGATTATGTATGAGGTGTCTGGTGTAGAAGATGTACTGATAGCTGGTATGTAATGAGGATGCTTTAGTGACATGGCAGAATGTAAGAGACAAGAGTCTGCTTTAATCCTGTGGTCCCACTACATCAATGTTCTCTCGTCCATCCCAGAGAATGATTAAGGCATAATTGGTAAAGTAATGCCAGATGAGAGCTGTTCTACTTATTGAGGTCATGCAATGATGTCTCTGGGTTTTATGGTAGGATCTATGTTGGTTATTCACTCCTGCAGTAAAGAGAGAGAAAGCATAGAAAGCACAATTTGTTGGGTGTATAGTGTTAAAACAAAGGGAGGTAGTTATGTGCTTTTGATATTCTATAATTCTATGCAACATTTATATTTCATATGAATATATCGTATGGGCCATTTTACTACAAAGGTGAACATGCTATCCTAACTGATCTCAGCCTACTACAGTCTGAGGATCTTCTTCTTTTTCCAATTTTCTATCTTCAACAGTAGGCTCTTTCTATTTTTAGCTTTTTCATTGCGATATTAAAGCTGCATTGAATGCACTTGCCCATATATATTTAATTCACCGTTATGGAAGAGTATTTTGTAGCTATCTGTTTAGTTACAAGGGTTACTATTAAATATTTTGTAAATATTGTACATAGACATTAGTAATTCTACTATAAATGTACTATATTCACTAGAAGGAGAGATCTCCCATTTGAACTTTCCAAATTTTGTGCTTGTCGTTTTTAGGATTCATGTCCTGGGTTTACCTATTGATTTCTAACTGACCTTAAGAACCTGACTATGGCCTCAATTTATGGCTTTCCAAGTCATTTATTATTTTTGGATACATTTTTAAAATGATCACTTCTCAAAATATTAAACTATCAAAAAAGATATATAAATGAATATAAAAACATTATTTATTTAAATATAAATATATTTATAATTGAATCTAGGTATGTACACTTTTTTTTTGTGCATTCTAAAATCCCAGTCAATTATATAATCAAAACTGATTGCAAAGTGAATCATGTTGTAAATTTGCTGTTTTGAAAAAAATAGAAAACTATTTTAAAACACGGTTTACATATGTAATTACCATTAGCAAATGTATGAATATTGTTTCTACATTATATACAATGTTCTTTTGACTAAGTTGCATGTGTTGTCTGCAAATCTGGTAATTTACAACTAGTTTAAGATACTATTTATATCCTAGAATGTTTTTTTTATTTATTATAATTCTTTTTTATTTTTTATTTCAAGGGGAATCATGAATGAGAAAATGGAGTCAAATGTATCTGTAACCTGGTTTCCAAGGAAAAATGTAAACAGAACACAAAATGTGGAGCAGAACGTCACTTATGTGGACTACTATCTTCATCACACTCCAGTGGCTGCAGTTTTCATTATTTCATACCTCTTAATATTTATTCTGTGTATGCTTGGCAATGGTGTGGTCTGCTTCATTGTATTGAGCAGCAAACATATGAGGACTGTTACCAACCTTTTCATCTTGAACCTCGCAGTCAGTGATTTACTTGTTGGAATATTCTGCATGCCCACGACATTACTGGATAATATAATTGCAGGTATTTTATTTTTAAGAAAAAAAACATTTTAGTAAAATAAATATTAGTCTTGTTTGTAATTATGTTCTCTTAGACTAAAGTATGCCAGGGGCAGTAATAATGGTCTATAAAGAAGAAAAACGTGGTGGCTTTCTGATACTGGACTATTGATACATCTTTTGTGGCGTCAAAAATGTTGGGAAATAAAAAGTAAAAAAGTAACTTGTAGGTGATATAAGGAAGGAATTTTAATAAAGAAAGATATGTGGGTTTGGTGAAGACATGTGAGAGGAATTAAACACTAAGTAGACAAACAATGGAAGCTGATTATAATTCTACAAAATAAGGACAAGGGAGAGGTAAAGAAAAATTAGGAATAGAAGAGTTAAGGAAAATTATAGATAAGGCTAGAGTGACAAAGTTTTATTTACATTTCACTTATTGTAGAGCCATTTGAATTCTATGTTTCTCCACATTTAATATTACACTAAAACATTATTCACTAATGTCCAAATGGCCCCATATGCCTGAGAGGCAAAATTAGCCTCTTGGGCCAGTTGGACTGCACAATCTGGACATTGTTCAAGCTATTTAACAATATTGAAATTTTGCAATTCATGCACTGAATTGTGGATTCTGGGTGTGGGACTTTAAATTAACATGTGGGGATGATCTGTCCATTGTGACCAATGGTTGGAGGCTATTAAATTTAAGTAAAGGGGGAGTATCCTTACCTCCACCTATGGTTAGCAGGTGGAGATACTAATTTTATACCGAGGAGAAATAATGATCCCAACCCAGCACCTACTTGTTAGTGGCAAGTTGGAGTTCTGTTACCTAACGTCTCCTCCCAAGCCCCCCATTAGTGGTGCGTAGGAGCTTAATTAATAATATTGAGTGGACATGGTGTCCCAACACCAGCCTCCCTCTCTCCTTTAGCAGTTGGCAGGGGATATACTAATAATACACGAAAAGCCCTTATTCCACAATCCCAGTCTCCACTCATTAGCTGTGGTGGGGGCTCTATTATTTATATGTGGGGGTCCTAATATTCACAGCCATTAATTGCAGGAGTGGCTCTATTAATAATATATGGAGATTTACCTAACCCCTCTCAGCATTCCCATCTTTAGAGATGGGTGGAGGCATTACTCATAATATACTGGGGAACCTAATATCTCAATTCATGGGTGGTGACACTATTGATAATAATCATGGAGTAGAGACATAATAGCTAATGCTAGCCTTGCCAATGGATGTAAAGGAAATTCAAATGATAAATGTACTTGCAAAAAATGTATTGAATTATAATTTGTGAATGTGCATTCTACTAGTTGCAATATTGGTGCTTTGTGAATCTTCCAAATCCAATACTATAGAGGATATGAAAGCACAGATTTTAATTTGAATACCAAGTGCATCCATACAATTGCTGCAGATTGTCTCGGGCCAATTAAATTTCGATCTTATTTGGCTTTAGTAAAATGAGTTATTTTACCTGGCTTGTATCCATTAGGACAAAATCTGTTTAGTGAATAACCCTGTTAATAAATATAATTAATAAATATAATATATATATATATATATATATATATATATATAATATTAATATTATTGTCAACCCTTTAAAGTGCAAGAATACTGAAAAAGTGTAAGCCAATTGTTTTATAAATAAGAAGGCTTCACATTTCTTCACACATTCTGAAAACGTCATACAATACACTTTTGAGGGGAGAGGAGGGAGGGGGGAGGAAATGAAGATGACCAAACCAACAAAACAAAAAATTCAATCAGCACATTAAACATTAAATATAACACCTAAATAGGTCATGGGCAATATCCAGTGAGCCACTGGCAAATACTCCCCCATCCCATGCTGAGATCTGTCATCATTATACAAGCTGGAGGGGGCAAGACCTGACATGTAATTATTTCTATGGGCTTCTCTCTCTGTTTTTTCTCAAGGTTAGCTTTTTTTTTTTTTTAAGTTACATTATTATCAATTAATTGGCAGAATGCTATAAAATAGATGCATAGTACTTAATTTCCAAATAATTCATTGTTGCTGTTAGTTTGACTCATGTATGAAGATGAAATGATCATTGCTTCCAAGAAGTACATTGTTGCTTTTTTATTTAAATTTACATCAGGTCATTATGATATTGTCGCATGATGTATTTGCTCAAAAATAATACAAATATAAGTTTGTAGTCCATCTTTTGTGACCTCCATAAAGGGAACAGATGTTTTCAAGTCCTTAGCTAAATAGAAACTAATAATAAATATTAGAACACATTAGTTTACTCATATCTTCCAGTATCCAATATATCATCATCCTGGAATGATAGACTTTTAATAATCTGTAAAATTTTTAGCACATCCTATACGAAAGCAGTCAGAGTAAAAAGATAATTAATAGAATTAAAATTACATAAATACTATGGTGCAGTGAAGTGCTTATGGTGCCATGAGTGCCCTGGCACCCCACCACCACAACCAATGTAAGTAGTTATCCCTAATTACAAATAATAGCTGGTTGGTTTCTTCCAGAGAGTTGACTTTTTTATTCAACAAGAATTAGATGATTTTTTTTTGTAGGTTTGGTCATCTTGATTCCCTTGCCCAATATCATGTAGCTCTTATTGAGCTGCCAAAACATATCTAATGCATTTGAGCCATGGACTCTAGTAGACCTCTAAACATGTAATGTGGTATCTGGCATCAAGACATTAACAGCAGATACTTTTAAGTCCTGCAAGGTGGGGCCTCATTGGATCAGATGTAATTGTTCCAGCACATTAGACGCATGCTTAATCAGATTGAACAGTGGGGAATTTGGAGGCCAAGTCAACACTTTGAACTCTTTTTCATGTTAATCAAACCATTCCTAAAACAATGTATGCAGTGTGGTTTGGTGCATTATTCTTCTGAAAGAGACCACTGCCATAAAGGGACACCATTGCCATGACAAGGTGGAAGTGGTCTGCAACAATCTCTAGGTAGGTAGTAACTGTAAAATTAACATCCCCATGAATGCCAGGACCCAAGATTTTCCAAGCATAACATTACCTACACCTGTATATTCCCACAGTGCATCCTCCAGCCATCTCTTCCACAAGTAAACAATGCCATCCACCTGATCTAAAAGAAAATGTGATTAATCAGAACAAGAAACCTTCTTCCACTGCTCCATGGCCCAGTTTTTCTTTTTTTAATACTCTTTAAAAAGACATTAAAACATATACCATTATGCTTAGTCTCTGATTATCAATCGGTTTTACATCCTGTGTTATATAAGCTTACAAATACATGTACATATACAATGAACAATAAGACACTATTGTCCCATGAACGAGAGATGAAGGTGGGTCCCAGGTCTCTAGTGAATCGTATTACAGGAACTTGTTGAATTATATTTTGAAATCACATTAATGCAAGCCACATTTGCCACATGTCAAGTCTTTTTGGGGCATTGAAAAAAGGGATACTTAGGTCTCTTTCCATTTTTATCTGGGAGGTTAATTGTGCTTTAATAGCATCCCAAAATAATTTGCCCATTTGTTGCCAATTAACGTGCTATTATAATGTTATGGGCAATAAAGCAATGGGTAATAAAGTTTTCTTTATAACTTTATAGTGTGTTTCAGCTAAATTTAAACACTGGACCCATTTACAGATAGAGCTAAAAGCCTTGCACCATTTTATTTGATTCAACACGCATTAGAGCTCCTTTTCCTATTTTGTCACTTGAGGAAGTGACTCCATAGAATTTATAGTTCTAATTAGTTTTGTTGCCTTGGCTAGAAAATAATATCTTAAGAATCTTATTCTTGTCTGCTTTAGCTTGAACCAGATGTTTTTGCAGAAAATATTTGACTCTGAGATATGAAGAAAATTCTGAGCTAGAAAGCTAAAAACTTTGAGATAATGATTCAAAGGGTAAAATTTTACCTTGGGATGTTACTTGATCTAGTTTATTGACACCGCTCAATACCCAGTTTTTCAAGGATAAATCTGGAATGCTTTCTTATATTAGGAAAAATCCTCATAAATCTAAAACACAGTCTTGTATACCTAACCTACTTTTAATCTTGTGGCACCCCAGGATAATATGATTCTGAATTTTATTATGTTCTATGCACACCCCCCTTCTTTTCTGACTTTTTGTACTCCAGATCAGTCCAGATATGTCTTTGACCTCCAATGCTTCTGTTTCAATTTTAATCCAGCCCTCTTTATAAGAAGAGAGGAATTGGGTACTATGGATATGTGCTATTATATTGGCTTGATAAAAGATTTTAACATCTGGAAAATGAAGGCCACCTTTTATGGGCATAAAAGATAACATTTTTCTGTTTATCCTACTTTTTTGCCTTTATAAATGACATTTTTAACATTATTTTGTAATAGAGTTAGCCAGCTATCCGGGACTTTGAGAGGTAGCATTTGAAATAAATAGTTCCACTTTGGAATAAATAGTTCCACTTTGGAATAATATATGAATTTACAACATGAATTCTCCCCTGCCAGGATATTTAAAGGAATTTCCAGTATTTTAATAATTGGTTTGTTTGTTTTAACAAACTCATAAAATTAAGTTCCATCAGTCTAAATTTTTTGTAATCCAAATTCCCAAATAGTTAAACTTTTTTCTAGCCCATGTAAAATTATATTTATTGGTGATCGTATGTTTTAACGCATTTTCTATCCCATTACCCATAACAGTAGTTTTGTCATTTTTCAATTTATAATTTGAAACTGAACTATAGTCCTTGAATTCTTCCATAAGAGGGTCAATTGAATTCCTAGGGTCATTTATAGTAAGTAAGATATCATCTGCATACATAAAAAATTTTCAATTACTATCTTTCATTTCCACCAATTTTATTATTATTTATAATATTTACAGGCAAAGGTTCAATAGATTATATATATATATATAGTAACGGTGACAGGGGGCAACCTAGTATATTAAACCAACTTGAGCATACATTGGGCCTGACCATTTTCGCTGTGGGACTTCTATATAATGCCATGATTGCCTCTAATATCCAGCCCTTGATATCGTAGGAAATCAAAGTCCGTTCCAAGAATTTCCAATTTAGCTGGTCAAAGGCTTTTTCAGCATCTATAGCAATTGTTAAACAATTGATTTGTATTTCTCTTAATGCTGTTGTGAATGTTTATAATTCTTCTTGTATTGCATCCTGACCATCTTCCAGGGACAAATCTTTTTTGGTCTGTGTGAATTAATTGTGCAATGGTACTCTTAAGACGTTCAGCTAGAATGTCTGAAAAGAGTTTTACATCTGTATTTATCATAGAAATAGGACGGTAGCACATTGTTTCAAGGGGATTTTTACCTGGTTTTAAAATTGGCAATATATTAGCCCTCGTCATTTCGATTGGAAAGTTACCATTACTTATGGCATTATTGAGCATTGGGACCAAATGTATGCTTAGTTGTTTTTTTTTAAATGTTTGAAAAAAAAGGTTGGTAAAGCCATCTGATCCGGGTGTTTTAGCCTTTTGCAATTTTGAAATGGCCAATTCAAATTCTTCTTTACTAATGGGTTTATTAAGACTAACAATTTATTTTGGTATAATTTGGGGAGTTTGGTCTTAGTTAAATACTGATCTATATAATTAATTGGAGTATCTATTTGAAGATTGTATAATTTTCCATAATACTCATTAAAGCAATTGCCAATATCTTTGGGATTAATACATACATTATTTTGATATTATAATCTTAGTTATTTGAGAATGCGATTGTTGTTTTCTGAGTTTATTAGACATCACGTTATCTGTTTTATTTCCTCTACAGTAAAATTTAAATTTTTGTCTATTTATATTCTTTACAATCCTTTCATTTATATATTGATTAATTTTGCCTTGTATAACCTTTATCTCTTTTGCTTTTACTGCCAAAGGGTCCTTTTTTTTCTTTACTGAGATGTTATGTAGAGTAATATATAATGCCAGTAGATCTTTATCTTTCCTTTTTTGTGCCTCATGGTTCAGTTTAATAAAATGTCCCATTGCCACTGCTTTGTGGGCACACCAGTTGTTTAGGTAGAATGTGTCAGTAGGATCATTCTCTTTAAAATAATTTTTAAAACTTATTAGTTAAATACTCCTTATTGTTTTTAGAAAATAACAAATATTTTTTTTTAATTTCCACAAAGAATTATTCTTTATTGGAAAATCATCTTTTATCTCAAAGAGAATGATATTATAATCAGACTGTGTTATCCACTATGTTAATTTTTTCAACTTCTCAATCAGATTCATATTACCCCAAACAATGTCTGTCCTGGGGTAGGTATAATAGATTCTTAACAGATGTGTAAAACCCCTCATAGTTGAATAAACTAGACGCCAAGCATCAAAGAGATCGTAATTATTAAGAGTATTGGTTAATGCTTTAGCATATTTTACTACTTTGTTGTTTATCAAACTACCCTTAAGAAGTCTTTAATCCATTTGATGATCAAGTACACAATTGAAATCACCCGTCACCATATATATGTCCAACTTTTGGTTCCGCTTTCTCTAAAATTTTATTCAACATTGGTACAGGCGCCACAATAGGGAGATATATATTAAGTATCATGTATTTCACATTATTAATTTTACAAATCAAAATCATGTATCTCCCTTCAGGGTCTAATTCTTTATATAAATTCTCCCATTTAATGTTATTGGGAATCACAATAGCTACGCCTCTCTTTTTTCTCAAATGTATGGACGCATGAATAATAGTTGGATATCTCTTACCTCCCAGTTCACATTATCCCCATGTCTCCAATGTGTTTCCTGTAATAGACAAATATCCACTTTTTCCTTAACAAGGCAGTTATATAATTGTGACCTTTTATTCATAGTATTCAAGCCCTGTGCATTCACCAAAAGAAACCAAACCATAATCTAAAATTACATTGACCTGGGACCTCATCTCCGCCTCTCGACACTGGACAATACATACAACAACAAACCAAGACATTTGAGCCCTCAGAAGATCACAGAGAAGCAACGTTAAAATACAACCCTTCCAGGGTCTCCAAAAATCCCCTATTGAGACTCCTACTCTCGTCAGCATTTATTCAGAATGAGATATATACCTTATATCAGGCATCAAGTAGGGCTACTCAAGGGGGACCTTATCTATCAGTATAATCACCTAACTTTTAAATTAAGGTTACTTTGTTATTTCCATTTTATTTTTCCTTTCTCCATTTTCTTCCCTTTCCAACTCTGTTCCCTCTTCATCTTGTCATAATAGGGGTTATACAAATTGGATCCATACCTACAAAAGTGGCATATATTTTGCCCATTTGGATATAACTAAATCAACTATCTTATTCTATGTGTCCTATTCACACCCATAGGTGTATATATTGATCTTAAAAAAAACAACAACAAAATCCCCAACACAATAATAGTATAATGTTCTCTTATCTTTATTTTCAGCCGTTAGACCTTAATATAGTCCACTATAATTTTACATCTTTATAGTTTTACGGCTTATCGCTAGTTATGCAACCCTAATATGCCTCATATTGATAGTGTATTAAAAAATAAATATATGTGGAACTTCTTTTCATCAATACTGATATTAATTGTTTTCTATTCCATATAAACTCTATATTCTTGTTAATCCAAACACCTTCTAATCCTGTACTATTATTCATTAAAGTGAAACACAAACCACTTATATTTAAAGTATATCCTATGTGTAATCCCCCGCTCCCAAAAAACTTGAATCTTAACCTATAGTATATTATGTCGCTGTATTCTTGTTTTTTCATCATAATACTTATGTGACCAAAAATTTGCCTTGTGCTGTGTATGTGTTATGTATGTGATATGCAGAACTAAGTGTATGTATAAAACATCCATTTACCCCCCCTTTTTTCAGCTATTAATTATTAAGTATGTAAACTATATCCTTTTCATTGGTGTCATTTGGTGCCATTATAGTGTTAATCAATGATTAAAGTGCTAAATGCATTATATTATGTAGTAATCGTGTTTATATTCTCAATAGAAACCCCGTGATCTTACGCAATATTATATTGCTTCTTTATGTTCATGTGTACCCACCGTCCTTCTACTTATAGAGCTAATAAATAAAGAAAAGAAAATTATAATTATCTTCTGATACTTAGAGCATCAATCTAATAATATACATCCTGTTAAACCTTTTAAACAAACAAACAAACTATTAGATAAATGAATAAATGTTAAAAGCTAATTTAAGTTGTTGGTTAGTCCAATTTTGTAGGTTTGAAGGTGTCTCAAAATTCAACCATTTTTCTTTCCATCAATATAAATGGGTATCCCCATTTATATCTGATGCCTTTTTGCTTCAGTGGTTCTAACACTTGATGGAAACTCCTTCTCCACTGTCTTGTTTGGAATGAAAAGTCCTGAAAGATCAGAATGTCTTTAAACTGGTCATATATATTACAATGCTCTTTGTGCCTCTTCACAATTTGCTCTTTATATGCATATGAATGGAAAGCTGCAATAACACCTCTTGACCATTGGGATGCCACAGATTTAGGTTTAGGAAGGCAATGTACCCTCTCTAGCACTATGTGCTGTTCCACTGTAGGAATTCCTAATTCTTTAAAGAACTCATTTAAACATTTATTCAGGTGGACTTGTGTAATTTCTTCCAGGAAATTCCTAAATCTCAAGTTACATCGTCTTCAACAATCTTCTCTCAGTTTTAAATCTATTTGGTTTATTTTGGTTTCCATTTTACTTTTGTCTTCTTTAAGTATATCAAGTTGTTCCTCCACCTTGTTTAATTTGGCTTTCACTGAGGAGACTTGTTTAGTTAACTCACTCATGTCTTTCTTTATTGAAACAGAGTTATTAGCTATCTCTTTCAAAATAGATGCCAGTTGGGTGTCTAATTTAGCCATTAGAAAATCTTGTGTGACAAAATTAAACTTTTCACTCAATTGGTAAACCTGAGCTGTCAAAATGGATGTATCCTCCATAGCTTCTGATTTATCTTTGTTAGAAATAGGAGATGGGGGGGAGGAGGAAATGACACTCTTGAGGGCTGAATATAATTTTTTTTCACTTTGCCTTTAAGCATTTTTTTTTTTTTGTAGCCATCTATTGGGACTCTTCGTGGATAGAGAGTGGGCGGCTTTAATCCACTTATAGAGAGATAATTAATCAGGTCATAAAGTTTTGGCCTGCAGTGTAGCCTTCCCTTGTCAATTTTTCACTTTCTCGACTTTATCCCTTCTTTTTTCATTTATTAATTGCCAATACTTTCCTCCCCCTTTTTTTTCCCCTCCCCAGTTTGTATACCAGCATTTTCAGCAATAGTGGCAATACGAGACAAATGTATAGTAAAGTATTAGATTGTATAGGGAACCATAAACATTACAGCCATAAGTTAATAATTGGTACTTATCGCTTTGGTGTTCAGGCCGCGGCTTATCTCTCCCCTCTTTTTGTGGGATACTCTCCACGTGTCATTCAAGCGCCGTCTGTTGATTTAAGCAATTTTTTTTCTCTCTCTTTTTTCCAATTTTTCAACTTTTCTACGTATAGGGAGGGAGGCAATACGGCGTCATTTCTATCCTCCTCAGTATACAGTTATTTGTGTCTGGACGTTTCCCCTCACTTTCTCCCACTTAATGTTGCTCTACTTCGTCTACGGCAATATTGTGTCGATTTCATACCGCAACTGACTCTTCTTTGTATATGATCGGATACTGGTCAGGAATCAATTTGTTTCTCCTCACGCTTCGCTCTTCAGGAAACTTCAACGCTACTATTTTTTTACTCTGCAAACCATGCAACCATGCGTCTGTCTCAATAGCGGTTCCCACACCCCCACCTTTTCTGGCGTGCTACGCGCTCACGTCATTACGCCCTAGGTGCTCGGCCCAGTTCTGATGCTCACTTCTATACTGGAGGCACTTTCGGCTGTGGACAAGGGTCATCATTGGCACTGTGACCAGTCTATGGCTATGCAGCCCCTATGCAGCAAACTGTAATGCACTGTTTGTTCAGACACATTTCTTTCATGGCCAGAATTAACTCTTTCATCAATTTGAGCTGCAGTAGCTTTTCTGTGTGATTGAACCAAACGGGCTAGCCTTTGCTCCCCATGTGCATCAATAAGACTTGGGTGCCCATGATCCTTATGCTGGTTTAATGGTTTTCCATGCTTGCACCACTTTAGTAGGTACTAACCACTGCATATCACGAACACCCTACAAGACTTCTCGGTTTGGAGATGCTTTGACCCAGTCATCTACACATCAGTATATGGCCCTAATCAAAGTCACCTAGACATCTTTCCTGACTGTTTACTTGCTACCCAATATAACCCATCCTTAGACAGTTGAATTGTAATAAAATAATAAATTCTATTTGCTTTACCTGCTCATGATATAGATAGTGAATTTCAAATTTAATGGCAGAGTAACCAAACTAAAAACATAGGTGACTTTGAGAGTATTTTCCATTTCTGCTACAGTTGTGGTCAAAAGTTTGTATACCTTTGGAGAATTGATGATATGTTTACTATTTTTAAAGTAAACATGAGTGAGCAGGTAAAACACATTTCTTTTATTTCTTATGGGATTCATAATCAACTGTAGGTTGTAACAGATTGGCAAAATCATAAAAGAAAACAACAAAGAACAAAGAAAAAAAAATGACCCCTGTTAAAAGTCTGCATAATCTTAGTTCTTAAAACTATGTATTGCCCCCTTTAGCATGAATGGCAGCATGCAATCTTTTGTAATAGTTGTCCTTGAGGACCCTAATTCTTGCAGGTGGTATAGCTGTCCATTCGTCTTGGCAAAATGCCTGCAGGTCATGCAAAGTCTATGGTCATTTTGCATGAACCGCACGTTTGAGATTTCCCCAGAGTGGCTCAATGATGTTAAGGTTAGGAGACTGTGATGGCCACTCTGCTGTAGCCACTGGAAGATCAACTTGGCCTTGTGCTTAGGGTCATTGCCATGCTGGAAAGTCCAAATCCCATGCACAGCCTTTGTGCATAAGAATGCAAATTGTCTGACATATTTTCTGATAACATGTTGCATTCATCTTGCCATCAATTTTCACAGGACTCCCCGTGCTTTTAGAACTCACACCCCCCAAAACATCAGTGAGCCATCACCATGCTTTACAGTAGGAATTGTAATCTTTTCACTATAGATCTTGTTGACCTCTCTCTAAACATTGCGCTTATGGTTTTGACAATAAAGCTCTATTTTGGTCTTGTCACTCCAAATTACAGTGCACCAGAAGCTATGAGATGTGTCAAGGTATTGTCTGGTATATTGTAACTCATTTTTTTGTGGCATTTTCACAGTAAAGGCGTCTTTCTGGCAACTCAACCATGCAGCTAATTTTTGTTCAATTATCGTTGTATTGTGCTCCTTGAAACAACCACGCTGTCTTTTTCCAAAATAGACAATATTTCTCCTTAGATTACTTGTGGGTTTTTCTTTGTATCCTGAATAATTCTTGAATTTTCCACTTTTTAATAGGTGATTAAACAGTGCTGACCTGCATTTTCAAAGCTTTGGATATCATTTTATATCATTTCCACTTTATAAAGTTCCATTACCTTGTTACACAGGTCTTTTGTCAGTTCTTTTCTGCTCCCCATGGCTCAGTATCTAGCTTGTTCAGTATATCCATGTGAGAGCTAACAAACTCATTGACTATTTATACACAGACACTAATTGCAATTTAAAATGCCACAGGTGTGGAAAATTAACTTTTAAGTGCAATTTTATCCTGTGTGTGTCACCTTGTGTGATAATAATATTCCATATTATTAAGAATGATTGATTGATCACTATTGAGCAAATTAAACTATGATAGATAGTTAAGATGGCGCAGGTACACAGTACTGAAAATGTTAATAACCACAAAACACAGCACCAGAATCACTCATGCATACCGTCATGAGAATATTATGAGAACGTAGCTAGCTTTTAGATAAGAGATAATTAACCGCACAGATCTGGCATGGCATTTTTGGTGGGGCTGGACAGCCTGGCCTGTTGCAGGTCCCATCCAACGCTTTTGCAAGGTCTTTGCTGGGCTGCACTGATAAGGAGATTTGGTGGAAAAGTACAGACTATGCATCCCATTGATGTATAACTTATAAATGATGACAAAACTTGGCACTCATTGGAGTACTGCCCACCTGTAATACGGACGTGTATTGCTGGTTCTGCTGATTCCCAGTAATAGAGGGTCCTCTTAAAGCCTGACTGCCAGAAGTTCTCTCAGTCGAGTGCAGCAAGCTTCTCTTATGGTGATGTATACTTAAGCTGTTTCTTTAAGCTGAAAATTAAGCTGTTTAAGCTGTTATTACTTATTGATTAATTTCTGTTAATCAATAAAGTTTGTATTGATTATTTACAAGTATTTGGTGTCAGTGTCTTTCCCTTTCTCAAATACTCAATTCACTCATCCCGAATAGGGTTTTGGTGCCCACCAATATCTTTAAAATCCTTAGGGTAATTGATTATTGCTTTCTGATATTGGCGCTTCGCACTTCATGAATTTAATGATTAAGCACAACACCTTGTGACACTCTTTAACAAGGCCAAACATTCAAGGGAAATAAACTTTTGATCAAGGCCATTTGGGCCATTTGTTATTTCTGTAATCATTATGATTTAAAAATGAGCCAAACAACTATGTGATAATAAATGGCTTCATATGATGACTATCCTTCAATAAAATAAATTTTGCATAATCAGTCATTTTTTCAAAATCAATGCCAACATTTCACAATTTCTGCCAGGGTATGCAAACATTTGAGCACAACTGTATTTTAACCTTAAATTTGAAATTCATTTAGAATTCTCACTTTAGTAAATAACCCTGTCTTTTATTCCTGCAGTATTTTTTGTCAGGTTCTTCAATCTACTATAAGTCAGTCAGAAAAAGTATTCTATTGTACCTAAAAATGTAGGGAGCAAACTCTATGTCATAGTACTGTTGCCCAAAAGGCATCGTGGGCCAAAAGCAATAGATGGTTGTTTAAAATGGTGTAGATCTGAAGGAATATCTGAGGTCTCAGTCAAGTCTGCCCTACTATGTTGTGCATGCAAGTGGAGTAGAGAAGACTATATTGAATAACATGGAATTAAAGGGACACTATAGTCACCCAGACCACTTCAACTCAATGAAGTGGTCTGGGTGCCAGGTCCTTCAGGTTTTAACCCTTCAGATGTAATCCTAGCAGTTTCAGAGAAACTGCTTTGTTTACATAGCAGGGTTAATCCAACCTCTAGTGGCTGTCTTCCTGACAGCCGCTAGAGACACTTCTGCGACGCTGGATGCGAAATTCGCATCCAGCATGCAGAACGTCCATAGGAAAGCATTGAGAAATGCTTACCTATGGACTGTTAGAATGCACACGCTGCTCTTGCCGGGCATGCGCATTCCGCTCCACTCGGGAGCTGACGTCGGCGGGGGAAGAGAGGTCACCAGCACCGAGGGAGCCCGGTGCTGGATTAAGGTAAGTGGCTGAAGGGGTTTTAACCCCTTTAGCGCTACGGGAGGGGAACCCTGAGGGTGAGGGTCCCCCAAGGATGACATAGTGTCAGGAAAAGGAGTTGGTTTTCCTGACACTATAGTAATCCTTTAAGCCAGGAGTGCAAAAATCTTGCTGCACACAAATGTGAAAGTACCTGCATTTTTTAAATAGATGAAAAGATGCTCTATATATATATATATATATATATATATATATATATATATATATATATATATATATATATATACACTGCTCAAATAAATAAAGGGAACACAAAAATAACACATCCTAGATCTGAATGAGTTAAATATTTACTGAAATACTTTGTTCTTTACATAGTTGAATGTGCTGACAACAAAATCACACAAAAATAAAAAAATTTAAATAACATTTTTCAACCCCTGGAGGTCTGGATTTGGAGTCACACTCAAAATTAAAGTGGAAAAACAAACTACAGGCTGATCCAACTTTGATGTAATGTAAAAACAAGTCAAAATGAGGCTCAGTAGTGTGTGTGGCCTCCACGTGCCTGTATGACCTCCCTACAACGCCTGTGCATGCTTCTGATGAGGTGGCGGATGGTCTCCTGAGGGATCTCCTCCCAGACCTGGACTAAAGCATCTGCCAACTCCTGGACAGTCTGTGGTGCAATGTGACGTTGGTGCATGGAGCGAGACATGATGTCCCAGATGTGCTAAATTGGATTCAGGTCTGGGGAACGGGCGGGCCAGTCCATAGCATCAATGTCTTCGTCTTGCAGGAACTGCTGACACACTCCAGCCACATGAGTTCCAGGATCAACCGCACCAGCATATTGTCTCACGAGGGGTCTGAGGATCTCATCTCGGTACCGAATGGCAGTCAAGCTACCTCTGGCGAGCACATGGAGGGCTGTGCGGCTCCCCAAAGAAATGCCACCCCACACCATTACTGACCCACTGCCAAATCGGTCATGCTGGAGGATGTTGCAGGCAGCAGAACATTCTCCACTGCGTCTCCAGACTCTGTCACGTCTGTCACACGTGCTCAGTGTGAACCTGCTTTCATCTGTGAAGAGCACAGGGTGCCAGTGGCAAATTTGCCAATCTTTGTGTTCTCTGGCAAATGCCAAACGTCCCGCACGGTGTTGGGCTGTAAGCACAACCTCCACCTGTGTACGTCGGGCCCTCATACCACCCTCGTGGAGTCTGTTTCTGACCGTTTGAGCAGACACATGCACATTTGTGGCCTGCTGGAGGTAATTTTGCAGGGCTCTGGCAGTGCTCCTCCTGTTCCTCCTTGCACAAAGGTGGAGGTAGCGGTCCTGCTGCTGGGTTGTTGCCCTCCTACGGCCTCCTCCACGTCTTCTGATGTACTGGCCTGTCTCCTGGTAGCGCCTCCATGCTCTGGACACTACGCTGACAGACACAGCAAACCTTCTTGCCACAGCTCGCATTGATGTGCCTTCCTGGATGAGCTGCACTACCTGAGCCACTTGTGTGGGTTGTAGACTCCGTCTCATGCTACCACTAGAGTGATTGACTTGGAGTTACATTGTGTTGTTTAAGTGTTCCCTTTATTTTTTTGAGCAGTATATATATATATATATATATATATATATCTATATATATATATATATATATATATATATTATTACAATGTGTTAAGATGTTAAAAAATATATACATTTTCATAAAAAAAGTATTATCACTAGAAGGTGAGGGATAAAGTACACCTATGGTCATATTAGTCACATTAGAAACTGTTCAATAAAAGTGTCAGCAAACCAACAATAAACATGGAGGGGACAATAAATGTAATTATAGAAAATGCTTCAACAGTATAAATTATTTAATGGTCTAAATTAATGGCTTTTACACTTTAATTTCGATCATTGCAGATAATACTGCAAGGTTAATGTTATTTAGATGATATTTAAACTCTTTAGTATTGTTGCATTCTAAGTTGCTAATAAAATGTTATTTATGAATACTTGAAATCCAGTAATGATTTTATGATTACATAATGTGCTTGTACTTGTAAGGCATCATTTTTTTGTAGATTAATATAATTTTGTTTCAATCAGGTTGGCCATTTGGAAACACAGTTTGCAAGATGAGTGGCATGGTTCAAGGGATCTCAGTATCTGCCTCTGTTTTTACCCTTGTAGCTATAGCAGTGGATAGGTAAGTAATATACATGAAAATGTGTGTATCACTTTCAGGGATATTTACTACATTGAAAACTGTTTTTTTTAATTTAAAAGTTTAAATTAATTTCAAATTTAAAGCTTATGTAGCTGGGCTGGAAGAATTTTGCAGCTCAGCAATTTTGGCCTTAAATTTGAAATTCTCACAGTAGTTAATAATTATGTTAATGTTTAGTGAAGTCATACATTTACAAAGATCTGTAATGTTTATGGAGTATGCTGTAAGGCTAGATATTTCTCAGGGACCCATAGACATCTAAACTGCCATGGACTTTTTAACAGGGTTCTGCTTTTTTCTTATCTCTCTGAAGCTCTGGGAAAAAGCCGATTAGAATAACACACAGGACAACGTAATGTATTCCAAACAAGCCTCCCATTTTAATACTCACAGAAGAGAGAATATATAGACATATTGATCTAGGATGATACACATTATTTAGCCAATCACAATTGGCAGTGTACTTTGAAAACCAAGCCCTTCTAACATTTCACATTAGACCATATGTTAGGAGCAGCTAAGCAAGCCTGGTCAGCACAAACTCAGGGTGTGGTTTAGTATGTGCAGTGCATGCGACGGAGAGGCTCCTACAGTAATGGTTTTAAAATAAAATAAAATGAAATATTTCACCGAGGTAGCGCAAAAGCACGTAATCAAATATATATAATTTGATATATTAGGCCTAAGCATTAAGCCTGGTCCCTTCAATACCCCTTTCTTCACAAAGTGAACACAAAAATAAATATGCCAAAAGAAAAATAGTTTCATGTCACCTGCCCACCCAGTATATCTGGGGCCACTACAAACCTTAAGGTGGGGAAACCAATTTTTTTTTTTTTTTTTTTTAAACTCCTCAGGAAACCTGGGTGTGTCCGTGACCATGTGGGTGCCACCTCCATCTCGGGGCTGCATGCTGTTAATCCAAATTAATTAATTTAGTAATTCCAAATAATTCAATATAAACGTCCCAAAATGATCTCTTTTCAAAACATTCGTATATAAAATGTCAAAAACATAAAAGTGTCTAGATATATAAAAATATTAAAACATTTTCTACTATATTAAATCACCTCAAAGTTCACTTGAAAATACCAGATCTGTCCTTAATTACTTAGAACCCTCAGTACTGGGTTCTTCAGCTAATAGCAATCTCTTACCACAAAAAGCCTATCTTCTGACCTTTGTATGCAGAGAAAAACACTCCCCTCCTTGTTAAATGAGTGTACTATTTATTTATATATGCAATTATTTCCTCTTTTTTTGGGTAGTTTTTATGAAACATCTTCTAATAAGGCATTTAAACAATATGCTTTTAATTTACCACTACAAGTATACTACATTAGTTTCACAGATGTTGGTCACTTATAAACTTAATAATTTCAACATACATATTCTGATCTCTATTAGAAAACATAATTGCACAATTGCCCCATGATCAATTGGGTACACTAGAAGAACCTTACTTTGGCTAAATTCATCATACTTCCACACTTCTTTATTTAATTTTATATATAAATATATACATGCCTCCAGAGACAATAACACCCATGTCTACAGATTAAAAAAAATCATTATCCATCTCCAAAGAGGACAAGGCTGTAGTGTTAATTTGCTCTTGACACCTGTGTGCCAAGGATTTTAGAGGTATATCTGATAAATAAAATCACAAACTTACAAAAACTATTTGGGACCATTAATAAGCTTATCATAATAGATTTTAATTCAGTACTGATAATCATAGATAATAAGCAGTCCTGTACAAAAACAATACTCGCCTAATGAAAATCTGTCACAAGGGTCAGTCAAGGCACTTTGTGATGGAAAACATGAATCAAGATTTGATTAGCAGCTGTTTGTGGGGTTCTTTTCACGTAGGATGTAACAAGTGCTTTTCTTCCATAGTCCCATAGTGTATATTAATCTCCAGGAGTGATGGCATGCAACTATTGCTTCACTCTTGCCGGCTGTACATCATTTGATCTGGTTTGAAACCACTAGAGACTTGAGTTAATGACATGCACATTTTCTTCTCTTTAATATTACACTCATACAGACAATGCCCATTATAGCACATCAATTCATAACAAAACACATTTCATGCTAAACAATCATTGCAATTTGACTCATGATGTCATTCCACAAAACAAAGGACAAAAAGACATAGTAACTACACAAAGTATATAGCCAGATGGTAATACAAATATCACATTCATGGAAATGCAAATAGGTCACAACTCCTTAACACAGTAATAGAAACATAGAAAAACAGAATGTGATGGCAGATAAGAACCATTCGGCACATCTTGTCTGCCCAATTTTCTGGCTACTTTCATTAGTACCTGGCAGCAACTTTCATTAGTACCTCCCCTCTGGAGATACAGTTTCTAATACAACATGTGAGGTCTCACCAGTGCTCTGTACAATAGCATGAACACTTCCCTCTTTCTACTGTTAATACCTCTCCCTATATGACCAAGCATTCTGCTAGCATTTCCTGCTACTCCCTTACATTGTCTGCCTACCTTTAAGTCTTTTGAAATAATTACCCTTAAATCCCTTTACTCAGATGTTGAGGTTAGGACTGTATCAGCTATTCTAAACTCTGCCCTTTAACCCTCAAGATGCATGATCTTTCACTTGTCTACATTAAATGTCAGTTTTCATAGCTCCATTTTTCTAGTTTACCTAAAGCATTTGCCATTTGGCTTATCCCTCCTGGAAAATCAACCCTGTTGCAAACCTTTGTATCATAAAAATATTAAAGAGAATGAGTCCAGGTACAGATCTCCTAGGTACCCAACTGGTTACAAGACCTTGGCTCAAATATACTCCATTTACTTCAACCCTCTTCAACCCTCTGTTGCCTGTCACTCAGCCACTTACTAACCCATTCATCATTACTGGATTTCAAACTCAAAGATTGCAGTTTATTGATAAGTAAAAAAAAACCAGTACGATCCAAATGCATGGAACAGTTATTTAATTGGTAATCAGGCTGGAGGAGTGATGACGTAGTACATAGTTACACTCACTGTGCATAGAGCGGAGGGGGCGAGGAAGACCATGCAAGAAGCAGCATGATAGAGCGCCGTCCTGGAGGCAAGGAAAACTGCAACTCACATTGAGACCTAGGAGTGAGGAGAGAGGGGGGCTGTGTCCAGAGGAGACGTGGTCTGCACCGGACTGGCAAGCTTGTTCCATCTGGCTCCATGGTACCACATGCTATCTAGTGGCTGGGATGCGGCGTGGAGTTTGAGGAGTTGCATGAGGGGGGTCGCCATCTTGGAATGGAGCACAACACTGAAGCAGCAGATAAGTTCAATTCAATCTGACATCAATTTATCCCTAGCACTGTTATGGGGAATATTGTAAAATTCTATCTGAACTCAATTTAATGTTTGGACTGGCTACAGGAGTCATTCAACTGGCCTTAGGGTGGTGGAGAATGGAAAGACTATTTCCATAGCTACAGAACTGAATATAGAAGACACCAGGACAAGACTGATTGGTCTGAAGTTTGAGCAGATCAATAAACTCCCACCTGCATATGAAATCCAGAGACATACTCTTTAAGTTTCCTTTTAACATAAAATTAAGCGAGTATACATATACAAATTAAGTGAGTATAATGACAATCCATTAAGTCAGATAAAATGTTAACTCAGAAATAAGGCAGATCATACTGCCTTGAGATATTAAATCAAACACAAAATCTACAGGCAAGGTACTATAAAACTCAATCTGCATTACTGAAGTAAATGCATATTTGGAATCACATAACTTAGCAATGAAAGTAATAAAGACTGGGAAAGAGTGGTTGCGCTTTTGGACATAGTGATCCATCTGTTAAAGATGTTTATAAGATCTAAGCCCAACAGACACTGCCATTTGCTTTTTTGTTTTATTTTTTTACTTTTTACTTTTTTGGTTCGAATTGCAAAACCATTTTAGAATAAAAGGCATTTTAAAATAAAAACAGGGGACAACATGAGCAGAAGAAAGAAACAGGAAACAGAAAGGAAATTGTCTGGTACTGCTCCTAATCTCAGGCAACACTTCTCCCCTTTAATACATACTAAAATATGGCTAACAGGAAAATTACTGATACAAAAAACCCTCAAAAAAAGATAGGAAATAGGAGAATAAACCAGATAAATGCTTATTTTTCTCCTCCCCTATAACAAATAAAGCAGATCTGCATCTACTAGACATGGAGGAAACTACGCATTATGTCTGATGAACACCATGAAAGCTCCCAGACCACTTTGAGAAAGAAAGACCAAGCAATAGAGAAAGCATTTGAATCTCAACTGGAAAAAATTGAAATAAATAACATTATAAAGGAAATTAAAAAAAGAACTAAAGCAGACAAGGGGAAAAGTTTAAGAAAATTAAGAATCACTCCTACAAATGAAGTTACACCTTTAGCAGCAAGAAAAAATTGCTACAAAACAAGAATACAAAATTAACGATTTGGAAAAAGAACTATCAGACCTAGAGAATAGATGCAGAGAAATAACGTGAGATTTAGAGATCTTCCTGAATCTGTACCTCAAGATCAGCTGGACACCTTTGTAACCAAATACATAAAAACACTTTGTGTAGACAAATCCAGATATATAAACGTGCTAGAAAGAGCCATAGAGCTTTCAAACCACCAGGGATCCCTAGCTCCCAGCCAAGAGACATTATTATATGTTGCACAACTCCCAAGCTCAAGGAGCAAAACATCAAAGCAGCACGAGATGCCTCCTTGATACTCTGTTTTGCAGAAATAAAGATCTTTTTAGACCTTTCGTTCTTCACTAGAAATGAGAGACGTCAATACGCAGATTCAACAAGGATTCCATGGAACAAAGGAATTAAATATAAATGGATTATAAGGAGAAAAATATCATATAGATATTAGATATATTCTGGTTTTTTTTCTCCTTCCTGTTTTCATTAATTGTGCAATAGTTTTAAATGTTCACAGGTTACACTGTTAATTATCACTAGATATATACAGGGAGGTTTGCACTTATTTCACTCTTGAAAGAAGGGGGAGGAGGGAAAAAAAGAACAAGTTTACATTTATGACCTCATTATGATACATAACAAGATACTTTCACCTGTGGAAGTTTGATGTACTGCTATATAGAAAACCAGCTTAATAATAAGATACATTATGAACAAGAAGAAAGAGGATTTGTTTAGAGAACAATTAATAAGCACTTAAGTTATTTTTTTACACTATAATATAAGAATGTTTTTTTGATACTATCCCAATACAGGGGACAAAATGTTTTTGTTTTGTGTTTTAACATATTTTGAAATGTCTATAGTTTACACTTTTAATCACTAAGAGACACATCAGATCGACTTTTTTTCATTACAATACACAAGATACTTACATTTTTGTTTTTTTTCAATATATATTGTTATATAGAATACTAGCCTAATAATATGATACATTATGAATAAGACGAAAGATAAGTTGTCTATTAAAGAATCAAAAGGAACTAAAGTATTTTAAAAAAAATGTTTTTATCTCAATACTCAAAGAATATATTTGACACTATTTCAGTGTGTGAAGGGAAAAGCAAACAGGATTTTTTTTTCTCTTCCTTTGAATATATATTGTTTGGCAATTATATTAAAGCTCTAAATGTACATAGCTTACTCATTTATTCACCATGAGACATTAATAGAGCAGTCTGCACTTTTTTTTCTCCCTCCAAAAACAAATCCAAATTATAACTTAAATATACTCTTCAATGTACTCTTTCAAGAGGCAACAAAGATAATCTAATCTCCTTTGCCACTCTGCAAATAATGGCAAAAAAAAAATGAGGTTTGGCTGACTATCTCTGTGAGCCATTTGGGTATGGTACTTACAGAGATATTTCTATACCTATGGAAATATGGGACCTGAGTATGTTTTAATGTTTTTTTGAATTGTATTTGTAATGTGTTAGTGACATGGTTGTTGGTACTCTGGACATGGGGAGCTGAAAAAGAAGAAGAAATATGGTTAGATTTGCCATAATTAATACCCAGGGGCTTAATACACCACATAAAAGATCCATATTATTAGACTGTAAGAAGCGGAAAGCAGATATTTGCAATCTGCAAGAAACCCACTGGAGATCAAGAGGTAAATGAATCTTATATCTAAAGCATACACCACTATTGTATCTGCATCATTAGAACATAAAAAGTGAGGACTGGCTATATTAATATCTAACTATTTCGGTTTTAAAAGTATTCACATGGAATAAGATATAGAGGGAAGATACATAATTATTATCTATGCATAAGATGAGGCAGAGGCATCAATGATGCCCACCGATTATCAGAGATAAAGAACACAGTAATGAACAGTTAAATCCGAGCTGCAGGGTCTCCTTACTGTAGTTCCAACAGTGTAACAAGCAGATAGACAAAAAATGGAGTTCTGCGCATCAAGTAGGTAGTGCACACCCAAGTGCTACTGCAGTTTATTAGAGGACACAATATAAACAAACGTTTCGGACAACAAGCCCTTCCTCAGTGCTAATGTCCTACACAATACACACAGTAGCAGTACAGACAATATATACAAGTGAAAGAAATACTTACATTCAAAAGAGTGCCACCCACCAGCAATAATGCAAATTAACAGCAGCTGAAACTGACAATCTCCATGTTTCCAGCATGTTCATAGTCTCTAGTCACTTCCTGGTTCAGTTGGTCTGTGTGTGATGACGTCAGCAGACATGCCCATTGTGTGTGCCATCATCATATACTCTATATACACTGATTGACCTTTTTACCCAAACCATCTCATCTCATGCCTCAAACCAAATTCATCACTACCATTCATAATCAAAAAAAAAAAAAAAAAAAAAAAAAAAAAAAAAGAATAAAATAAAAATGTTTGGTGATTTTAATTGTGTATCAGAACCACAACTGGATAAAAAAAAATATCACAGGAGAAATAAGAGATAAAGGAATAATCAGACTCTCACAAAGATGTAGATCACCAATTCAAAACTATGCATTATATGATATCTGGCTAATCTTCCACCCATCTAGAGCTAACAAGCTATCCCCTTCAGATATGATATCAAATAAAATCATCAATCTAAAAAATAAAATGAATGATGAATTAATAAAGTAAGTAAAACTCTAGAGAGATTAAAAGCTAGATTTTATCATAAAGGAAATAGAACAGACAGATTGCTCTCTAATAAATTTGAAAATGAAAACTAATTAATTCTATAAGATTATTTACAAAGAGGCTGCTTGCCTCCCAAAAAATAGGAAGAGCCTTCAATGATTACTATCACCAATTATATAATTTGCCAACCATACAAAAAGATCCTAAAGAATGATTTAAAGATAAAAACTTCCCAAAGATTCCACAGGAATCCTCAGGAATTTCCTCAGGAAAAACTGAAAGATCTAAACCCCCCAATCTCCCTGACAGAAATACATACTTCCCTCGGGGAAGTCTAAAAAAAGATAGGGCCGGGGCCTATTTGATCTATTTGACTATGTATTTTGGTCAGAGAGATTGGGGCATTTAGATCTTTTAGACAGATTGGATGGTTCTTTTTATAAAAGATTCAACAATGAAATATCCCTATACTAGTAATTACCTTTAATCGATTTGTGAATCAGGCAAAAATACCTGAAGAACTACTCAAGGGCAATATCATATCAATATTGAAAACTAGCAAAAACTCAGAAAAGGTTGATAACTACCATCCAATTTCTTTAGTCAATGAAGATATTAAGATCTGTGTGGGAGTATGGGCTGAGAGAGTGAAAAAGAAGATCAATTAATACACACAAATCATTCTGGGCAGATCTTCGACAAGCCACATAAGAAATATTATTGAGATTTTGTACCAATCCAGTAGAGACCATGCCCCCATGATGGCCCTGTTGTGGAAGCAGAAAAGGCCATCAACAGGGTCAACTGGGACTTTCTAAGAGAATCTTTGGTGACCTTTGGATTTTCAGAGAGGATATTAGGAGCAAAAATGGCATTATACAGAGGACCTCAGAGTTGAAAAATTGATCCAAGCATTAAATCAAATTGGTTCAAGATTTCAAATGGTACTCATCAAGCCTGCCAGTTATGCCCTTTATTATATATTTTTACTATTGAGTCCCTGGCAGCAGAGATAAAATCTAACCTTGAAATCAAGGGTTTGGGTTATAATCATCACCAGAAAATTATGTTGAACACAGATGATATCCTTCTGAGCATCACAAATCCAAGAGAAACAGTTGATCAAATCATGAACAGTATTCAGAACTTCAATAATTATTCTAATTATAAATTAAACACAGAAAAATCTATGGAATTATATTGTAACACCACTCTAATTGGGGGGGTGGCGGGAGCAGAACACCAAACGAGATGGCCGCATAAGACCGGGGCGCTGTGCATGGTGGACGATTAAAGTATGCCCAGTTCGACACCACAAGATTAAAAACGAAAGAGATCTACAGGGAAAGATAACACAAAGATATATACCCCAGAGGGGATATATAAAAAAGGGGGTTATAGGTTACACATAAGGATATATAGAGAAAAACAACCTTAAAATCAGAATAGGTATGGAACCAAGATGAATCTAAAAAAGAGAAGCTGAATATGGTGAAACACGTAATGTCTATATATAGACTCTAGGAGGTAGAGAACTTGCAAGATGTCAAGCAAAAATGTGCCTGTCTCCCCCAGGGGTATCTCCAGGTGACTGGTTCTCTTCAAAGTATATCCTCAAAGAATAAAGGAGAACAAATACTGCAATATGTATAAAAAGGATAACAATTTAATTCAAGGTTGCACAACACATAGAAAGTGACAGCAGGCCTATCTCCACTGGCAAAGTGGAACAATAGATGTTCCTCCGATCCTGGTAGATCCTTGGAGATAGAGTGCTGTTCACTGGACAGCCATACAAATATATATATATATATATATATATATATATATATATATATATATATACACACAAAATCAATATAACGAATAAAAACAATAGATGAGTAAAAGTCTGGAAAGGCTTCTTATCCTGTTTGTTAGATTTGACTTAATATTCTTATTTAGAATTTTGTCGAGATTATATTGAACCAGATCATTGAATACCTCAAGATATTTTCCCCTTTCAAAGTCTGGGTAAAAACTAGATACATTTTTAGATTTGAATGAATAATGGGAATTCAATCGTTGTTTAAATCTACTTCATCTATATTCTCCACAACTCCTTTATGTATTTGTTTAATTAGTTCATCATTATATCTTTTTTCAGAGAACCTTTTTACGGTAAGTTTCTTTAGAAACTTTTGATTATGTAAAATTAAATCAAAAGGTTTTGGACTGGTGGTAGGGGCAAATTTTAAGACTTTTTTCTAATGACAACTCCTCTATTGATAGGTCAATTCCTTAAATATTAAAAATACCTTCTGTATATTGTTTTAATTGTGCATGTGAGGTATCACTGGGGATACTAGGTCCTCCCTTGCTTCCAGGTCATATGTGGTCTATTTTTCTTTGGTTACCCTAAAGCTTGATATCTGTTTTGGGTGGTGAAGAAAGGATGTATTCGGTCTTTTCTTTGGCACAGCCCCTTGTTTTAAAAAGACTGTTCTTGGTGATTAAGTTTGGAAGTGGGCAGAGAATTATTTTCCCAAAACCGTGAAGGTTTAGAATGAGCTTGATAGGTGGATAGTGGTTTTCTTTCTGAGTCCTTATATGTATTATTTCTAAAAACTCTCTTAGACGTATCTGACTTTTTTTCAAAGAACCTTAAAATATTGTTTTTCAAAGAGCCTTTTTACGGTAAGTTTCTTTAGAAACTTTTGATTATTTAAAAATAAATCAAAAGATGTTAGACCAGTGGAAGGGGCAAAATTTAAGCCTTTTTCTAGTAATGACTTATCTTGTGCTACAGTAAAAGATGTCTCATCATAAAAGCAAAGCTAAGGGAGACAGAACCTCCTTCTTCACTGCAAAATTCAACAAAAACTGCTGACCCTCCAGGAAAGCTTTCAAGATGGCGACCATAAGTCTGGAGATAGTCAGGAGTCCTGCTCACTTTAGCATACCTCACAAGACAGTGAAGGCCAAATAACACTATCTATCTTACAAAAGATGCTGGATGCTCAATCCAAACAACTTCTGACCCAATTTCAAACATCTATATCCGAGTTGAAAAAAGAAATACAAGACATCTGTGACAGGACCGCACACTTAGAAACTAAGATCAAACTAAGATCAAACAACCACACACAACTCCCTCGTGGTTAAAATACAACAACTGGAGTCACATCTGGCCTCCCATGACTCCAAACTGGCAGATCTGGAGGACCGTTCCTGTCGGAACAATTTGAGGCTCAGAGTGATACCGGACTACACATCAATGGGGGACCTAGAGGCATTCGCAACAGGCCTATTTCAAAATCTATGCCCCGATATACCTGTCAAGATCTCTTAGATCAAATCCACAGAGTGGCAAAAGCGCAAGCTGCACTGGCATCCGCACCTAGAAACATGCTGCTTTGAGCCCACTACCATCACATTAAAGAAGAAATATGAAGGCCCAGCAGAAATACCAAAACTCTGGCTGAAGCTGAAACAAGGGCATTCAAATATTTACAGATATATCTCCAGCTACCTTAACTGTGAGGACACTTCAACCCGGTAGCAACTGCCATGAGGAGGCATCAAATCCCGCATTGATGGGGACTCCCTACCAGGCTTATAATAACCTGAAATGGGCTGACAACCCCCGTACTTAACCTGGAAGATGACCTCCAACTTCTGAGATGATGGGATTTACAACCGGCGAACACATCTACTGCACCGAATGAACCACAGCCATTTCCTCCTGAATGGAAGCGAGCGAGGCGCTAAAATAAGTGAGATGCACAAACTACCTAAATTATTACTTGTTATTTGTTCTCCACCGTTCTTCCTTCCCTCTCAACAGTTATACTTAACTCTGATCTCAGCAATTCTAAGGCACTACGATAGTGCAATGTTTCCGTTCTATAATAGATAGGGCACCAACGCATCTAAGTCATGTAGACTGGTGGGCTACATGGTGAAATGATCTGCAAAATTGTTCATATGTAAATAGCTGAAGGGAACAAAGAATGTTCCAAACTCCCACCCAGCCCACCAGTGCACCAAGGTAGGACCACAAACGTCAAAGAATTTACCACCCAGCTGCGAATGAGACCAGCGATCAACAACTTATACTTTAGTGAAGGGACATTGACTCTGTTCGCACTCTCGAAGATTGATCATGTGCTCCTTCCTCGTACTGGTCCGACATAAAGCAATTCCTCTAAGGCATCAGAATGGTGCAATGTTTCAACCTCCCTCCTCAGAGGGTGAACAGGTACCAATGGTGCCTTTGGGGCACCTGCAACAGTGTTTTAACATGCCATGTGTCTACATACCCAAACTTAGTTAGAACACTACCAGCTTTGCCTGTGCAGGGGTACCACTTACAGTCTACTAGAGGCTGAATACAATATACATCCAAAGAAATGTTAAAAAGCATGACTTCTTTGTGTAAACTTTACAAAGTAATAGCGATTGTCAACATGTGATTTTATTAATGTGGTGCAAACAACCTCCTTTACATAATATGGCCCTAATGCCGACCACCTATAGATAATGGAAAGCCCCCAGTAAACGTAAGAGGCAACGAGGCTCCCCTACCACTACCCCCTCCCCATACCCTCTCCCACAGCCCGAGGGACCTTATAAGATTTTGACTCTGGCACTGCAATACTAATGCCTGAGTTAAGTTTCACAGACCTGATCGAGACACGGAAGAGTAAAACTGTCATGCTGATATTTTGAGATTGATAATTAAAGGGACACTATAGTCACATGAACAACTTCAGCTTAATGAGGTTGTTCAGGTGAGAACTATAGCTCCCTGCAGCCTTTCTCAGGTAAACACTTTATTTTCTGAGAATACATTGAAAGCTAGGAACACCTCCAGTTGTAGTCACTCAGAATGCCACCAGAGGGACATCCGCGTTGATTGAGGCATAAAACTGGTGACTATAATCTCCCTTTAAGTCCAAAAGAGAGAGCCACTAACCAAAATGGGACAATGATTGGAGACTCTGTTTCAATATGCTTTGCAAACTCTCAATAGGTGCTACTATGTTATTCTATGCTTTTATGTTTTAAGATTTATTTCAAGTTTTGTCGAGTTGGGACGAGACAGTAGTACTGATAAGTGTATAGATCCACCTGTACAGGGTGTGGCATGCCAACCTGGTACTCCGCACAGCACACCTCAAACCTCCCCAAGGGAAATGGGTGTCACACTCAGTACAGTCGAATCCAACAACTGTTCGCCGGAGGGTGAAATTGGCTGATTGCATGGGGAGCAGCTGCAAGATGTACACAGGTGCTTACTTCTGCTACACCTGTATACAAAACTCAAACCATTTTCTTTCCTCCTTCTTTCCTCTTTTTCATTCTCTTTGCTGATGGGCAGGTGAGGATGGTGGTGGGTGGGATATGGACAAAAGGTATGCTGGATAGCACCCAAAAACCTTCATGCGCATAGTCTCATTCGTATGAATGCCCCTTCCAAACGTCATGCTCTGTACAGAGAAATTAAACAGCTTAAAGGAGACATTGTGTGCTTACAAGAAAACAAACTTTCGTAAGAATTTCCATCTATGTGGAAGCTATTTAGCAACCAACTGTCATTTCCCTTGATTAACAAAGAAGCAGTCCTGAAGGGAAGGTTCTAATCATAGTTATACTAGCACTGATAAACAAAGTCACCTATACAATAGCTAACATATATGCCCCTAACAACAACCAGAAAGACTTTTTAACTGGTCCTGTCCAAATTTGAGGTTTGCTTATTCTTGGGGGCGACTTCAACTGCATTCAAGTTGACTCCACTTTGGACAAAACGCCAACAAGAGTAGAAACACAGACAAAATTGGCCAAGCAATTGACTTCTCTTTTCAATTCCTACAACCTCTATGATGTCTGGAGGTCACATAACACACCCGACAAAGCTTACACATACTACTCCTCATTACATAACTGCTGTACTGGGATAGATCGATACTACATCAAAGTCACACACCTAGAACAAGTCATATACTGTGAGATAGGGAATATTAATTGGTCGGACCACGCTCCGATTACCTTCATGTTGTCAGAAATAATCAGGCATAAATATAGGTTCAACTGAGTAAAAAAAATATTTAATTATTTGGGCATCAAAATCTCAAAAACCCAGCACAGTGGGAAGTGTTTAATTTACTCCCCTTGATCAAAGAAATACACTGAAATTTAAAAAATAATGGAAAAACCTAGAAATTTCCTGTCTAGGGAAAATAAATACCATGAAAGCATATGTTGTACTAAGATTAACCTATATTATGAAAATTATTCCACTGAAGACACCCAAGAGCTGGTTAGAATTGATTCAGTCACTGTTTACTAAATGAATTTAGCCATGTAAAAACCCCCAGATTAAACCGAAATATTCTGGCAAGGAGTAGAGCTGAAGGGGTCATGGGAATCAAAACTATCAAAGATAACACGTTTTAATAATTAATAATAATACCTCAAATGAAAATTGGTATACCATTCAACAACACTTCACTATTAAAAATAAAAATCTAGAATCATATATTTAGATGGTTGATAAAAAGATATACAAAGCTGTAACAATTCTAACTCTCTACTAATCCACTTTCCTACATGATATGTTTTTATAAATTAAATTGGCCTAAAAGGAAAATGAGTATCGACTTTACAGCTGTATATATTGTCAAATCTAATAACTGATATAAATATAAAGGTTTGGCTTGCTAGGGGAATAAAGAGGATCTACAATCTACTCAATGTGAATACATTAAAATATTTTGATCAATTACAAATAGAATGCAACTTACCAACAATAGAATGGTTTAACTATATGTAAATTATATAGTTTCTAAACAAACATCTAAAATTAGATCAGCTAAGATTAGATCTGTTAAGATGCTGACTGAACTATATGAACAGGCAGATTATAACCATTTATTAGCAAAGTGCCACAAGTTAGTCAACAGGTCCCAGACAAATTAAATTTCCCATGCAATTACTAAATGAAAGTTAGATTTAAACATAATAATTGCTATGAAAGATTGAATTGATTCCCTCACCGTGCTATGTAAGACCTGCCACTGTTTAAATATACATGAAATTCATTACAAGATACTAGAGTTGGTCTGAACCAAAGGAGGATCCTAAACACATGTAATGGGATTGCATGACAGCTAAAGAATTTTTTTTTTTTATCAAATCTCTTTATTAAGAGTTTGTATTGGTGCCTGGAATGGCATTGTTACATTTGGACATGAAAACATTAAACAAAGATCTTAGGGCCATTGTCCTCCATATTCTAATGGCTATTAAATTATTGATAGCTGCAAACCGGAAATCCTCTTTGATGGGTAGTTGGTCTAAGATCCACTCAAAGGTAGTTGAACAATGCAAAATGCAACGTGTCATTGCTAGCCATTTTTGCTCAATTTTTCCTGATGTACTTCTTGGGATAAATAGATCTAAAAACTAACCCTGGATAACAAAATTTATCTTATATTTGTCAGTTTTTCCATTTCTAAATTATATTGAGGTGTTAATTCTGATACATGTTTGATAAGTAACTTAGATACTTGTATCACAAGATTGGGTGTTACATATGCTCCTCCTGTCCCGAGCCCTACCCACAAGTCTATTTATGATATGGTATGTTATGTTGTGCACTTTAAATTTGTCTTTAAATATATTTATGTTTGTATTTATACTGAAAAATAAAAGGATGAATATTAAAAAATAATTAAATAAATAGGTAATCGGGCTGGAATCTCTGTCTATATCTATAACTTACAATAAATTGATTATTAAATGCTTTAAAACAATACAGTAATCATAATTCACCAAACTCTGCATAACTACTATTCTACTTGCCAGTTAAGCTGCACACTTTATTATATATGCATACAATGGGTATCCAAACCAAACATTAAAATACAGTCAATGCATCCAAACATTTTTTTTTATCAGCTGTATTTATTACATATTTTTGTAAGGTATATCACTTTATTTTCTTTCTCATTTTCCACTTATATCTGCTTGTATCTTCTCAACTGTCTTATTATACTTTATACATCTTGTTGTTGTTTTGTTTTGTTTTTAGAAAGAAAAGGGTCCCTTTATGTGGAGGGACTGCTACCTGTTAGTGAATTGATTTGTGTGTTATTCCCCATGTTTTTCTCCTATATTATGTGTATTCTTGGGTTTTACCTACTCCCCTATCGGGAGTCCCCATACGAACGAGTTCTGTTCACCTCCTGAACGAGGACCACCTCGATACCCCATTTAGAATGTTTGTTTGGAATGTTTGCACCTCGTTAGAATGTTCGCACCTAGTCAACGAGGTGTGAAAACCACAAACTGCAAGGGAAGTCTTCTTTAGATGAATGTCATCCAGGGGGAGCATTCGCAGATTGCTTCCCACCTCCCCAGTGCCCCATGGAATGTCAATTCGAACGTTGGCAACTTGCAACATAAGTGTGAAACCGCAAGGGAAGTAATTAATCAATGCTCCCCTGGGTGGCCGCTGTTCGTATAGACGGAGGGCGGCCAGGGGGAGCGTTCGAGTCCCGAACAGAGATGCTTCCCTTGCCTGGTTTCACTCAGGGATGAATGGAGGCAGTTACCATTCTGGAGGATTTCTGAGATTGGTGGGGACACTCTCTTGGGGACAATGGCAGTTTGGAGGGCTTTCTGTGGCTGGGAGGCACAGAGGTGGGAAGATTTCCCATGATGGGACTCCCAGGCACAGAGGCTAATGGGAAGAAGACCCCTGCACTGGGAAGTGGGAAACCCTGTAGTTGGGTGGTGGGTACTGGGGACAAAGGGACACACACACAGGCCCCTGAGAGGGGAAGGACCCTGGGACCCTAGTTGTTCTGGTGACTATAGTGTCATTTTAATAAAAAACAGAGTGGTCATAGTGGTAAACTAAAAACCTGAAACCAAAGCATAAATTAAATGGTGCATGCAAGAATTTAAAATGTGGTTTATGCAGATATTATGATCAGATTTTCATGCCGTGTTATCGAAAAGAAGCATATTTTTTATTGTAGACAAGAGCAGGAAGAAATTACTTTCTATTTTTCCCTAAATCTGGCAGAGGGAACAAATACATTATGTGAGGTCAGTGAGAAATGAAATATAATAGCTGCAAATATCCTCATCTTCAAACATGTTTAGACAAAAAGAACATTAACTCTTTGAATGACCAAATTCAGTATAAACCATTTTATTTTAATGCATTTTGCAGGTTGAAATATAGACCTCAATTTAAAGGGACACTATAGTCACCAGGAGAACTAAAACTTAATGTAGTGGTTTTGGTGTCTATAGCATGTCCCTGCAGGCATTTCATGTAAATACTGCTTAGGGACACCTCTAGTGGCAGTCATTCAGACAGCCCCTTGAGGTACTTCCTGGGTCAGTGCTACCCAATGTGTAGCACTGATGTTCAATATCTCCATGCTCTGCATGCAAACAATGAAAGCTCCCCATAGAGGCATGAGGAAATGCTGAATTGCACAGAGTGGCATTTTGCCACACAGAGCAGCATTTTGTGCTTCATGCATGATATCTCCCAATGTTTTCCAATGGAAAAACATTGGATTGGCAGATATCATAAAATTTGATGATCTCAGCCAAGGGGATAGAGTGTGCCTGGGCCAGCTGTGACGGGGTCTGTGCAGCACTGGAAAAACGTGAGTAAATCACCTTTTTAACTCGAGGTAAGGGGTGCTTGGGGCCTTAACAGCTATTTAGATCTATAGCGTGAGGAATACACATTTGTATTCCTGACACTATAGTGTTCCTTTAATATTGTTGGATCATCTTTCCAAATTACTTATGTTTGACTAAACTTTCAAAATGGTTTCATATAATAAAAAATATGAAAATTGTGTAATATTTAAATTTCTATATATATTGATATATAATTTATATTAAATTATATTATATTAATTAATTTTCGATGTAGTTTTATCCCTGTGTCTTTGTCTCTTTAAGCAAATTCCATCTAACCTGCCTAGATATAAACAAATACTACTAGGCCATCTTTTAATCTCAGCAAATTCCTTCATCTCCCACTCTGGAAATCACCCACCATACCAACTGTGGGTGAAGTCTTATCTGTAGTATTTGAAAAGAACACATGTGAATTAGCTTTCTGTGAACCCTCTACCTTCACATCTATACTGCAGCATGAATGGTCCATGTGGGAAGATGGTGTGAAAAAAGAATACAGACTTTAAAGGGACACTGTAGGCACCCAGACCACTTCAGCTCATTGAAGTGGTCTGGGTGCAGTCCCTTTTGCACCTAGTGCTGCAATGTAAAACATTGCAGTTACAGAGAACTACAATGTTTACATTGCAGCACTAAGTATGCTCTCAGTGGCTGTCGACCAGACAGCCACTTGGGGCGCTTCCAGAATTGTAACAGACTTTTGGTCCGTTATCTGATGTGCATTAGACCCAGCGGGTCACGGGACAGAGGAGTGGGCAAAGCTTCCACCCAGCACCGAGGAACATCGGCGCTGGGATAAAGTAAGTAAATAAAGTGGTTTTAACCCATAATTTACTGGGTATGAGGTGGCGTGAGGGAGGGGGGAGGCAGAGGGATTGGTAGTGCGAGGAATACAGCTTTGTATTCCTGGCACTACAGTATCCCTTTAACCACGTTCACACCTAACTGAATGCTTGTTCTACTTACTGACTTTTTGTTTGGGACCATGTCATAACATTATTATGTATATACTTTACTTATTTCATTTATATAGGAAACTATAATTTTTATGTGTAGAAAAATAGAAACATAGAATGTGACGGCAGATAAGAACCATTTGGCCCATCTAGACTGCCCTATATTTTAAAAAAACTTTAATTCTTCCATGGCCTTATCTTATACAGGTGATACTCGAAAAAATAGAATATCGTGCAAAAGTTCATTTATTTCAGTAATGCAACGTAAAAGGGGAAACTAATATATGAGATAGATGCATTACATGCAAAGCAAAATAGTTCAAGCTGTGATTTGTCATAAGTGCGATGATTATGGCTTACGATATTCTAATTTATGGAGTATCAGCTGTAGTTAGGATAGCATTATGCATATCCAACACATGCTTAAACTCCTTTATTGTGTTAACCTCTACCACTTCATGTGGAAGGCTATTCCATGCATTCACTACCCTCTCAGTAAAGTAATACTTCCTGATATTATTTTTAAACCTTTGCCCCTCTAATTTAAGACTATGTCCACTTGTTGTGGTAGTTTTTCTTCTTTTAAATATAGTCTCCTCCTTTACTGTGTTGATTCCCTTTATTTATTTAAATGTTTCCATCATATCCCCCCCGTCTCGTCTTTCCTTACTTTAACCTATTTAGTTTAGAAAAAGGTTGCCTGAGAGGGGATATGATAACATTATACAAATATATTCGGGGCCAATACAAACCATTGTGTGGAAATCTATTCACAAACCGGACTTTACATAGGACACAAGGCCATGCGTTTAGACTGGAAGACAGAAGATTTCGTCTGAGGCAAAGGAAAGTTTTTTTTTACTGTAAGAACAATCCGGATGTGGAATTCTCTGCCTGAAGAATTGGTTTTATCAGAGTCCATACAGATGTTCAAACAGCTACTAGATGCATACTTGCAAAAACAGAATATTCAAGGATATAATCTTGCAATGTAGGGTAATAACTGCTTGATCCAAGGATAAATCTGACTGCCATTCTGGGGTCAAGAAGGAATTTTTTTCCTAGCTTGTTGCAAAATTGTGCTTCAAACTGTTTTTTTTTGCCTTCCTTTGGATCAACAGCAAAAAACAAATGTGAGGAAGGCTGAACTTGATGGACGCAAGTCTCTTTTCAGCTATGTAACTATGTAACTATGTAACCTTTCGTGGTAAGTTTTATCCTGCAATCCATGAACCAGTTTAGTAGCCCTTCTCTGAACTCTCTCTAAAGTATCAATATCCTTCTGGAGATACGGTCTCCAGTACTGCATACCATACTCCAAGTGAGGTCTCACCAGTGTTCTGTACAATGGCATGAGCACTTCACTCTTTCTACTGCAAACACCTCTCCCTATAAAACCAAGCATTCTGCTAGCATTTCCTGCTGCACTATTACATTGTCTGCTAGCATGTCCTGCTGCACTATTACATTGTCTGCCTACCTTTAAGTCATCAGAAATAATCACCCCTAAATCCCTTTCCTCCTATGTTGAGGTTAGGATATTCTGTACTCTGCCCTTTGGTTCTTACGTCCAAGATGCATTATCTTGCACTTATCCACATTAAATGTCAGTTGCCACAACTCTGACCATTTTTCTAGTTTACCTAAATCCTTTGCCATTTCGCTTATCCCTCCTGGAACATCAAGCCTGTTACAAATCTTAGTATCATCAGCAAAAAGACATACCTTACTGAAATCTAGGTGAGCAATGTCTACTGCACCACCCTGATCTATTATTTTAGTTACCCAATCAAAAAAAATAATAAGATTATTTTGGCATGTTCAACAATCCTATCCTTTAACATAGTTTCCATTACTTTCCCCACTACTGAAGTAAGGCTGACTGGCCTATAGTTGCCCGACTAATCCCTACTACCTTTCTTTTGAATGGGCACAATATTTGCTAACTTCCAATCTTCTGGGACTAAACATTTGCTAACTTCCAATCTTCTGGGACTACTCCTGTTAACAATGATTGGTTAAATAAATCTGTTAATAGTTTTGCTAGTACACCACTAAGCTCTTTAATAACTTTGGGTGTATTCCATCAGGTCCCATTGACTTGTCTTTACTTTTGACAGTTGAAATAGAACCTCTTCCTCTGTAAACTCACATGTAGCAAATTACTCATTTGTCCTTTTTCCTAATTGAGGCCCCTTTCCTTGATTTTCATCTGTGAATACTGAATAAAAATATTAATCGAGGCAGTCAGCTAGACCTTTATCCTCTTCTACATACCTTCCTTCTTATGTTTGTAATCTAACTAATCCTCGTTTTACTTTCCTTTTCTCATTTATGTATCTTACAAAATATTTTGCCCCCCCCCCTTTTTTCTTTTTTTTTTACTGACTGTTCTATTTTCTCTTTTTTGTGTGATTTGGAACCTCTTTTAACTTGCTTAGCCTCTTTCTGCCTAATCTTGGAGATCAGTTTGTCTCACTCTGGTTTTTTTTATAATTATTATTATTATTATGATGATATTTATAGAGCGCCGTCAAATTCCAAAAAGGTAAGGATAGTATTAGACTAGTGACAGTTGCAGAAGAGGAATCAGTCAGGAGCTTTAACAGTTTAATTCATATGCTTTTATGAAGACGTGGGTTTTTAACGATTTTTTGAAGGAGTGGAGACTGGGTGAGCATCTAACGGAGGAGGGAAGCGAGTTCCACAGGAACGATGCAGCCCTCGAGAAATCTTGAAGGCGAGCATCAGAGGTGGGAGTACGGACAGAAGATAGACGTAAGTCTTCAGAAGATCGTAAGGGCCTAGACGGGACATACTTGTGTATAAGGGAGGATAGATAGGTGGGAGCAGCATTATGTAGAGATTTGAAAGCAAGAACCAGAATTTTAAATTGAGCTATATATATTTTATAGGAAGCCAATGTAGAGACTGACAGAAGGGTGAGGCTTGGGAGGTGCAGGCAGACAGGAAGATGAGCCTCACCGCTGCATTCATTATGGACTGTAAAGGCGCTAGTTGGGAGCACGTAAGACCACTGTGAAGTGGATTACAGTAGTCAAGGTGAGAAAGGACAGTGTAATGGACCAACACCTTAGTCGCATCTGGCGTTAAGTAGGGGCGGATGCGCGCAATGTTTTTGAGATGGAAATTACAGGATTTGGCGATATATTGAACATGAGGCTTGAAGGAGAGGTTGGAGTCAAAGAGAACACCTAGACAGCGAGCCTGCGTGGTGGAGCTGATGGTAGCACCGTTGACTTGGAGGGAGACGGACACATGAGTAACAACACTTGAGGGAGGAAAGACCAGAATTTCAGTTTTGGTCAAGTTTAGTTTAAGTAAGTGGGCAGCCATCCAGTTAGAAACATCAGAGAGGCAGTCAGAGACACTAGTCAAGAGGGACGGGGAGAGATCAGGAGAGGACAGGTAGATTTGCGTGTCATCTGCATAGAAATGATATTGGAAGCCAAAGGAGCTAATGAGTTTACCAAGGGAGGCAGTATAGATGGAGAACAGTAGGGGACCAAGGACTGAACCTTGGGGACACCAACAGAGAGGAGTTGGGGAGAAGAAGCAGAGCCAGAGAAAGAAACACTGAAAGAGCGCTGGGAGAGGTAGGAGGAGCACCAGGAGAGAGCAGTATCTTGTAGACCGATATTGCGGAGGATGAGAAGAAGCTGTTGATGATCAACAGTGTCAAAAGCCGCAGACAGGTCAACAAGAATTAGGATAGAGTAGTGACCACGAGATTTTGCAGCGAGTAGATCATTGGATACTTTGGTCAGTGCCGTTTCCACAGAGTGCGTAGCGCAGAAACCAGACTGAAGCGGATCTAGCAGAGAGTTGGACTCGAGGAAGTCTGTCAATCTCGCATACACAATTTTTTCAAGGATCTTGGATGCAAAAGGCAGTAGCGAGATAGGACGATAGTTGGATGGGGAGTTAAGATCAAGATTGGGCTTCTTTAGAATTGGGGTTACAGTTGCATTTTTGAAGGGCAATGGAAATATACCAGAGGAGAGAGAGAGATTGAGAATTTTAGTGAGAGGTGGGGAAAGAGAAGAAGACAGAGTACGGATGAGATGCGAGGGAATTGGATCTAGGGAGCAGGTGGTGGGGCGGGAGGACTGGAGCAGAGCAGAATCCTCTTCCAATGTAGCGGGTGTAAATGAACATAGAACAGCAGAGGGAGCGAAGTTAAGGGAAGTATTGTAAGGGGAAGAAGAAAGATGAGAGATCTCTTCTCTGATTGTAGAGATCTTGTCGGTGAAGTGAGTTGCAAAGTCTGAGGCGGTCAAGTTAGTAGGTGGAGGAGGAACAGCAGGGCGAAGAAGAGAGTTAAATGTGTGAAATAGTCGTTTGGGTTCGCGGGAGAGTGTGGTTATGAGGGTATTGAAGTAATTAACTTTTGCAGAGGAAAGAGCCAAGCTGTATGAGCTCAGCATAAATTTATAGTGGAGAAAGTCAGATGCCCAGTGAGACTTTCTCCAACAGTGTTCAGCAGTTCTGGAGCATTTTTGGAGGTATCGAGTTAGCTTGGTGTGCCAGGGTTGTTGTTGGGGGGGCCTGTGGCATTTAAATGTACAAGGTGCCATGATGTCTAGTTGAGAGGAGAGGGTAAAATTGTAGAAGGAGGTTGCAGAACTAGGACAGGTGAGGTTTGAGATAGGTAAAAGGAGAGTTTGGAGATTAGTGGAGAAATGCTCTAGGTCAATGCTAAATACTAACTTTTTGTTTTTTACTGTTTTGGCCACATCTGCGGAAACAGTGGTTTCTTGAATTTTTTGCTTTTACTGACAAGCCTAATGCAATTTTCTGTTGCCTTCAGCAGTGCAACTTTTAAATAATCCCATTTCTCTTGGACTCCATTGTCCAATAAATAAGTATATTTCAGTTCATACATTATTGTATTTATGTAATTATTATATTATCTGTTATACTATTAAAAAAAAAAATAAATAAATAAATATATATATATATATATATATATATATATTTTAGATGAGAAAAGTTCATGCAAAACGATTAACTTATCCAACAATATTTAATTGATGCCTTAGTTCATAAAGCCTCACTCACCCTCATTTATACTCTAGTTATCAGCCCACAGAGGAACACATTTCTCTACAGAAAGCTACTAGCCACTGTTATACCTGTAAATGTGCAGACAATGTGAGTTCACTCCTTTCTTTCAAACACCACAGTAAGTTTCAATAAGTCACATTAGTCATACAGTCAGGGAACAGGGAGAAGTTAATAGACTCTACCATATAAATGTCACCATTACATTAGCATTCCAGAAATTGATAAAGATTGCTATAGCTGTTTTAAATACATTTATTTTAGAGATTATGATTTAATTGTATTTACTATATGTGAACATTATGATCAAATGCAAACATTTTTTGTTTTATTCTTATTTTTAGTAAGCTGTACAGCTAGTTAAGCCTTCATATTAAAGGTTGTCGTCAAAGCAATCTAAACACAAAACTGTTTTGATGTAATAATATTATATGCAAACTATGTATCTCTTGCTTCAAATAAACATTATACTAATATTTTTCAATCAAAAAGAGCCCTGTACTGGAGGAGAAAAAATGATCAGTTAAAGTCAAAACTGATTAGCTATAATTAAATCTGTAACAGGGAACACGTTGTTACATAATTGTACACTTTGTTATAATTATCACTAGGATGGGGGCAGAGCCTGGACGTGTCTCAAGGGAGCTCCTGGCTGTCTGGAGACAAAAACTCTGAAAATAACCCAAGAACCCTCTGTCTTTGCCCTCAGTGTGCAAGTATCCTATTACCTGCAATAAGGGGCGTAAGAGCAAGAAATGTTGATAATCCCCCATCTACTGCTGACATAGGCGATTTGCTTTGGAGGCTGCAAAACCCAGAGGCCTGCCATGGTGCCGCTATTGGATGGCCTCCAGTCCTCCAGTGAGATGTCCTGTGCCGAGAGGGGGAAGTTGGAGAGAGCGACGTACTGACGGAAAGCTTATACACCTCCAGTAAGGACACTGAGAGAACGCAAAAAATTCTCCTGGATGACCTCCACTGCAACATAGCAGTAGACATCACACTGTTCAAAGAAGAGATCAATGGGGTGTACCTTCACAACACGGAACTTAACACTGCTGCCCACGAGGTCCGCCTCATTAGCCTGGAAAGCAAGCTAAGGGCTCTCAAAAGCGAACAAGCCCTAATTCAGCACCGCATGGCAGCAAAGGAGAATCTCATGTGCTGTAAAAATGTGAAGATGAGAGGCCTAGCTGATACTATCGCAGTGGCAGAGATTCCTCACCTAGTCAGGAGACTCCTTACAAGCCTCTTTTCTGACAAACATCTCAAAACCATGACTCTAGATGGCTGCTACCGACTACCAGCATCACAGACGGGCTTGCTGGGAGTTAGTAGGGATGTTGTCATCCAACACTGATGAAATAGACAAGTTTTTATGACAGAGGTCCGCAATAAGACCATTTTGAGGAACATACATTGCTTTCTACCCAGACCTGTCCAAAGCCACAATGAACTGGCAGAGATCCCAGCGACTGTTAACTACCTAACTTATCAAGCATAAAGTTCCTTATTGATGGTGCTCCCCAAAATGCCTCTTAATACCCTGTGAGTCCGGGACTTTAAAGCAAGCACCCTCCTAAAACTGGGGTTAGCCACCAACGATGACCCTTGCTCCCCCGGCACACCCACCGCAACCTACTACTTGAGACCTAGACCTGGTTCGCCCATTTCTAGCGACCGCTCAATGGGGTGACCCAGCCTCCATAATGATACCTTGGACACCCCAGCTGTTACATCACTGCTCATTTTGCTCGTATTGCTTGATATGTTTTCTATAATTTTCGCAGTTTTTATGCAGTTAGTTCTACTTTCATTTCAACACCATACATGCTCCACGATGTATGTCCTCAGAAATGTGTCCCACTCCACCATTTCCTGCTGGCAATACAGGCTTGATCCTCTCCACCCCCACACAGGGCCAGATTAACATAGGGGCTGATGAAGCTGAAGCTCCAGGCCCATGCCTGTGGAAAAGGCCCATTGATTTGAAAAAAATAAATAATTTAAAATATTTTTTTTTGTTGTTTTACTACTCTTGACATGCTCTTGCTTAAGTTTGGAAATTTAAGAGGCATTAATGGGAGCAAAACTGGTGTGGACTTGCTGACCAGGAAATTAGTTAAGGTAAAGCTGACTTTGCACACTGTGCAAATGATCTTACTGCTTCAATCTCTCCAACACTGTGGCATGTTCCCTGTCTTCTACACTCACCACATACACTTTTTTTCTGTCCCAGACTGTATAACAGGAGGTTCTATCTGCTAGTAAGAAGGTTAGGAGAGGAGTGGACCAGCGAGTGCTGGAATACAGTCCTTAGAAAGCAGAGAGCTAGTACATCATTAAATGCATTTATGCCAAACTCTTGGTTGCCACCCTGCATGATTGGCAGGCAGCATGATGTGCATTCACATGCATTCTTTTTGGTCATGTTTGTGTCTTTGGGTGATTCTGGTTATGTGATTCACATCAGTGGCCCACTCTTTTACTCTGCCCACTGAGATCCTGTTTCACCGGACACTGCTGTTAGGGGGTATGGATTTACTTGAACGATGAAAGCGAGAGATTAGTATAGGGTATTTGTTTTCTGATAGCTATACCCTGTGAGTTTTCCTGCAGCACACCTCCACCAGATATATGACGCTTGAGATGTATAACTGTTTACCATTTACAACCTGACTGTTTGGATTTACATCGCTTTCAAGGAACGCCAAAGAATCCCTAGGTGGGGATTATACCACCCAGACGCTATTATCTGAGCAGTGATTTCTGCTCAGTATATTGTAAGTACATTTCATACTCTCTATTAACCATATTCCAGGTATTCAGTGAGCACTATATGTTCTATTCTGTTTAATTTTCGGTCGGAACTCCTGGTGATTCATTACTCCATATATCCTTGAGTGGGGATCAATCCATTTCACGCGCTTTATACCAGAGCTGGATTTTAGCTCTGGAAATTGTGAGTACATTATATGATTTTATACACATATCTTCATATGAACTGACGTATTGCACTATTGGATCCTCTCTCCTTTTCTCTCCATATATGGCTGACTGAAAACTCAAGTTTCCATTGGGAAGAACTCCTATCCATATACAAGAATCATCTCCGTTCATTGTGGATTTTCTATCTTGGACTTGTAATTTTTAATTTTTATATTTTCTTAATATTTTAATATTTTTAATATATTATACATATTCTATTTTACTTATTTTATATTCTCAAAAATTATATTATTTATCTTTTACCTTCTTTTTTATTATAATTTTATAGTGTGTACTCTTTGTGATACATACAACATAAATAGGCGCGCCCTCTCTTTCTTGTTTTTAGGTACTAAAAATGCATATAGACAAAAATATATATGAACAAATTTATCATATATATGATACAGAAATATTAAAAAAATTTAAGAAAATTGAAACAAATTTAAAACAATTGGCTTAAAAATATATACAGTGGGACCTCGGTTTACAAATGAAAATCCATTGAAAATAATGCCTCGGTTTACAAAAACATTTTTGTAATAGAAAGCAAGTTTCCCCAGGATGCATTGCACCTGTGAGGTTTATAGCACCGCCCCCTGCATGCTGGAACCTGTGGATAGCACGTGGCGTCGAGTGTGGAGGTGTTGGGGTAGCTTTTCAAGTTTTGGAGCCATTCTGGAAATTGGTTGCAGTTCTTTTGGAACTTTTTTAGTGCATTTGTCAAGCTGTGGAAAGGTAGGGAGCTGAGCTTTGTCATTTGCATGCCTTTTATTGTGAGTTGGTTTCCATGCCAGCTCATTTCTGACCTCCAGAACGGATTAATTGGTTTTCAATGCGTTCCTATGGGAAACCATGTTTCGGTTTACAAATTTTTCGCAATAAGAAACGTCCCGGAGAACGCATTAAATTCGAGGTCCCACTGTAAATAATACCCCTATATAATACATGGACATAAAGGGGATAAAAAAAAAGAAAAGAGCTCTAACGCATTATATACAGTATCTCACAAAAGTGAGTACACTCCTCACATTTTTGTAAATATTTTATTATATCTTTTCATGTTTGAGGGGACAGCAAATTTACACTGTTACACAGGCTGTACACTTACTACTTTACATTGTAGCAGAGTGTCATTTCTTCAGTGATGTCACATGAAAAGATATAATAAAATATTTACAAAAACGTGAGGGGTGTACTCACTTTTGTGAGATACTGTATATATATATTATATATATATATATATATATATATATATATACGAATATTGAAAAGGCTTGCACTCACTGTCTTTTTTTCTTTTAAAAGGTTCCTTTATTTCATTCCTTTAAAATGCGATCGACGTTTCAGCCAACGTCCGTGGTTTTCATCAGGATCAGTACAGCACAAATATACATTGTAACTAACACGCTTATATAGCTAAATAAACTAATAAATCAATCAATAAATCACTCACCACCTGTATTACTATCACTCCTCCTCGGCGTGTCTCAATTCCATGTGCGCATGCGTGAGAATGCCGCTACCCGGAAGTAGCTGACGTCACCGTTTGTTGCCAGGGTTACCCGATGCTCATCCAGGCTCCCTGATAAACAAAGTCACTCTGTGCGCCGGTTATATATATTTATTGAGATCGTCAAATTTGATGATCTCAGCCAAGGAGGCGAAACGGGGCCAGCCATGGCTAGAAACAACCTCATATGAATGTGTGTTTGTATATATATATATATATATATATATATACAAACACACATTCATATGAGGTCGTTTCTAGCCATGGCGTATTTGACGATCTCACCCAATCTAATGCTTTCCCATAGAATTGGGAGCTTATTGTGCATAGTTGGAAAAATGCTGCGCTGTGCCAATCTGTACCTCCTTATTGAGATGCATTGAATCAATGCATTTTTATAGGGAACATTCAGCGTCTCCATGCAGAGTGTGGAGACTGACCCAGGAAGAACCTCTAGTGACTGTCTAAGTGACTGCCATTCGTGATGTTCTAGGCAGTAATGTAAACACTGCCTTTTCTCTGAATTTATGTTAAAAAACCTGCAAGGATAGGCTGTAGATACCAGAAAAACTACACTACGCTGTATTTGATCTTGTGACTATACTGTCCCTTTAAATATATTCTCCATTAGAACTTTTGCGAGAAACTTTTGTTTGGTTCCCAGGCCAGTTAGTCTCTGTTGATCAATCAATCCCAGGTGGTTTTCCTTCCTGGTTTTAATCCATAGACTGTGTATTTTGTTTATGGACTAGGATGGGTAGTTTTTCAGCTGTGTTTACAAGATTATTTGTCTTTAATAAAATATCTTTCATTCCAAGCTATCATCAACAATGGATATTAGTCTTTGGCTGAGAAGTTTCTTGTAAGAGTTTTTGTTTTATTAGCCATGTCACCATCCTCGTTGTACACTTTAATAAAGCCATACAAATTGTATATAATAAGTTCTGAGACATACAGTGCTGGTATTGGATGACACATTCTCAGCAGACACACACACACACACTAGTGGCACTGAAGTTTTGTAACAATGTATGTTCACGCATAGCTTAGTGGTTAGGTCCTATGTTTTTTTTTACCTGTCAGTCAGGGATTAGTATAATGATTTTTTTGTAAAAACAGACAAAAACAGACATTGTTTGAGATGTCACATGCAGTAAATATATTATTTTATATGGTCCAACACATAAAAAAAAAATAACTTATTCACTCTTGCATGTTCATCCAGAGAAATAATTGAAATGATTATTGTTTGTTCAAGCTCAAGAATGGTATCCACAACATATTTTAAAACAATATAAATATATGCAACAGATATATTAAAATTATAATATGTCATAATTATAGAACACTTGTGGAAAAATAAAGAACAAATAAAGAACACGCAGGAAAAAATATGTATAATAAAACATGGATTGAATTGGTAATCTCTCTGATAAACTCACCAACATAGAGGAATGGAAGTCAGATTAAAGTACTGTGACACTGCATTGTGCATGCTTACCATTGATAACAGACATTTGTACGTTAACCCTTACCCCTAGAGACACAATGTAAGCAGTTTATTATTTTACCACCAGCAATAGATATTTTTATTATATCAACAATTATCTTGTGGGTCACTGTCCTAACTGCATCTGTGGATGATCTACCACTGCATATAAGAAAAATGACTTTAAGGATTAAGAAAAAAACTAATACAAAGTGATGATACAATTGCACAATTTCTACATTTTTACAGTCATTCATCGTTGGAATCTCAACCCCTCTAGACTAAATAAATTTAAATGAACTAATTCTGCCAAATGTTGGAAAGGATGTGGACAAGTGGGCTCATTGTTTAACATACTGTGGACTTGTCCCAAAGTGGGCTTATATTAGAAATCAATTAACAAATTAATATATGCAATTACTGATTCAATTTCCCAACTGATCCCTGAAATTTGTCTCTTTAAAAAACTTCCAACTCATCAACCGAAATACCAAAGAATAATGCTAGGTCATATTCTAATTTGCGCAACTACCACCATAACCAGATATTGAAAACCTAGTGACTTACCAGACATTAAGGAGGTTTTAAGGAGGTTTTATATTCCATTTTAGATAGTAAACAACATTAATTGATTTACCTACATATTCAGAAAATATTATATTAATAATGGAATGAATTGGAAAATATAATACACATATGATCAAATTTTGTAAATAAATTCTGTTAATATTGTAATAACTGTTTTTCAGTTTGTAAATAGGATATGTTAAATAACTAAAATATGTAACTTTTTATGGATGATTGTGTATATAAGATTATTTTATTGTTTAATTTCTTTTTTATTTATTATTTTTCCCACCATTTTATTTTATCTTTGTTATTCCATTTATTTATTTGTTTGTTTATTTACTTTTTTATATTCATTGTATTAATTGTTTTATAGACTCATTGTTATTAATCTTATGTAATATTTATATTGTTATTATTATTATTATATTGTATGAATATATATTTTAAAAACCCAATCAAAACATTTGAAACAATTGCACAATTTCTATTAACGCATATTTTAGTAGGACAGAGTATACTGCAGTTTGATTTTATTAAATTTAATGTAGATGCTTGAAATGAAAGTTACATTATTCTCTGCATCTATAGTATAGAATAGCTTGGGGTTCTTCTCCTGCATACTCTCTAATGCATAATAAGTCAATGAGCATGGACAGCTGTGGTTTGTATGTCCACAAATGGGTGATCAATCATTAAGTGTGCACATATGCATATGAATTAGACATTAAATCAATGTAAAATAAAAAAAAAAACTGTCTCTAATTAAATTTTCCTGTTGAAGTAATCTGTATTGCCTGTAGCAGGTAAAGTGTATAGATATGCTCTCATGGTTTGTTTCATAAAGAGCTTATTATATATTGGAAAGACTCAACTTAATATATATGTAAGGTTGGGCCTGTAGCTGTGGAAGGGGCCTGGTTTCCTTTCTTAAGGAGCACCAGACCTCTCCCCAATATCGTTATTGATTCTAGCGATTTGCCCTTCGCACCGCTCCTTTTACTCACATCAATATTTAGGGTAGCCCCTCTTTTATTACAGGCCTATCGCTTCGTCGGTTCCGGCCAGGGCCGTCTTTAATATGGATTGGACCCTGGGCAAACATTTGCTTGGGCCCCATGAACCCGGTCGTCCCCTCCCTGGCATGCAATCATGCCCCCCCACCCCAACGCAGAGGCGGACGTAAAGTAGAGAGGGCTCTGGTGCATGAATTATTTTGGGCAAGAGGGGGCAAAAGGTAGATCCCCATCTGTCATGCAACTCCAACAATGCTTTGACAGCTGGGGCGCTACCATTTTCCTATGCATGCAGGGTTATATTTAGCACTGAACAGTATTTGTGTGTTTGAGTGTAAGCATGTTTTTGTATGGAGTATGTTTGTGTGAATGTAGGGGTGTGTTTGTATGTGGAGATGGCATTTAAATGCAAGTATGCATTTATGTGTAGTGTTGGTTTATGAATACACTGGTGTGTTTATATATAATTTTGTTGTTTAAAAAAAGAGGTGTGTTTATATGTAGTGTTGAAGTTTGAATGCAGGTGTGTATTTGCGTGTAGTGTTGAATGCTGAGATGTATGCACAAATACACATGCACTGTCACAAACACACACACACACACACTGTGATACACATACACACACAGAAACACTTGCAGATACACAGATATACACAATCATACAGATGCAGCTATACAGACACATTTACACACACTGACACACACACATACAGACACACAACCTGGCACACATGCAGACACACAGATACACTGACAACATACAGATACACAGACACACACAATGACAACATACAGACACACAGATACATAACCTGACAAATGCAGATACAAACACTGACACACATGCAGATACACACATTGGCTACATACAGATACATGCACAGGTATACACACTGGCACACACACACAGATACATACATACTGACAACATACAGATACACACTGACACACACACACAGACACTGTGACAGACATACTGACACTGTGACAGACATACATACTGACACATACACAGACATACTGACTGGCACACCGACATACATACAGACACACAAACTGACACACACAGACATACTGACATACACACAGACATACATACTGACACACACACAGACATACAAACTGACACACAGACATACATACTGACACACACACAGACATACAAACTGACACACAGGCATACATACTGACACACACATAGACATACAAACTGACACACAGACATACTGACTGACACACAGACATACAAACTGACACACAGACATACATACTGACACACACACAGACATACAAACTGACACACAGACATACATACTGACACACACATAGACATACAAACTGACACACAGACATACATACTGACACACACACAGACATACAAACTGACACACAGACATACAGACACACAGACACACACAGACATACATACTGACACACAGACATACATACTGACACACACAGACATACAAACTGACACACAGACATATACTGACTGACACATACATACTGACACACAGACAGACATACTGACACACTGACATACACTGACACACACAGACAGACACTCTTCAGTTTCCTACCTTTGAAAGAGGCTTCCTTCCCTGGGGTCCAGTGTGCTGGCTGGGGTAGTTGGGAGTTGGGGGTCTGGCTCTTCTTGCTCCCCCCTCCTCACTGGATCCTGGCTAGCAGCATCCCGCGCGGCCCGATATCTTTGAGGTGGGAGGAAGTGATTCGCGGACGTCACTTCCTCCCATGCAGCCGTTAAGCAAGGGGCCCGGTCGCGCTGTTAAAGGGCCACAGCGCCGACCGGACCCCTGCTGGAACATGCTCACTGGGTGGCCCTAAAGGTATGGGCCACCGGGGGGGGGGGGCCCTTAGTGTGCGGGCCCCGGTACAGCCGCAATACTAGCACCGCGGGCCCATTAGGTAGGGAAATATTTTTTAAAAATACATTTTTATTGCAGGTGACGGGGCCCACGGGGCAGCTGCTTTGGGCCCCCCATGAGTAACTGGGCCCAGGGCAGCTGCCCCGTTTGCCCCTCCTTAAAGACGGCCCTGGTTCCGGCACACCACAGCCGACTTGTTCATATTATTACTTATTTCATAAATTCACTTATGTATACCTACGTCTAGTTAGCTCACTTTACGGCTTTTGCCCCGAACACAAATATAATATATTATATCCATTTATTAATTTAATAATTAAGTATAGGAGCGTAATGTGTTTGAGTCATGTGACTCAAAAAAATTTCTGAAAACATAGAATACCATTCAGGAAAGATAATTGCTTGCACCTTACAAATTTGACACCAGATTCCAATTGTCAAAATGTTGTTTTGTGCTTATGAAAATGTAATTTTTTTGTGTATTTTCAATATATTTTGCAGAAGGCCTATTTTAACTCTTTAATATAAGACAGTATCCTAGATCTTCTTAATGTCACCTGTGAGAAGTATATTGCATCACGGACATTAATGGCTTTGAGTGTCATAATTCTCAATAGATTACACATAATGTTTACAGCTGTTTGGATCAATTAAAATAAATTGCTAGAACACTCTAGTGAGGAATTTTAAATCATGTCTGGTTCAAGAGATTAAGCAAGGAATGCTATTAAATCCTAATGGAAAATATACAATGATTCAGTAAATACAACTTCTCCTATCTAGATACATTAAAAGTAAAAAAAGAAAAGAGCTCTAATGCATTATTGTATTTTATATGTCACAATAAAGCAGTTTTTAATACAGTACCATTCAAGGGTATTAAAAGATATACACTTATTCAGTGATAGGCACCATTCTGCAGACTACATCTACCCTGATATTATGCCAACATTTTGGCTCTTAGTTATTGCTACCACTTATCAATGTTAGCTATTGCTGTCATGTAAGATAAAATTGTTCATTATTCATTTTTCTAGTGTATAATATGTTATTCAGGGTGAGTTACTGCTTTCAGGTATGGGTCATTAGGAAATATACAAATATATTGACCCAGAATGAACATGGTAAGACTCTATCATTCTCCTCTATCACTCACGTGATCTAAGACTCTGAGCTTCATTGAGTTCTGACACAGCATTGGAGGGAGCGGTAAAGTTATCTATGCAGACTAAGAGGGTCTAGAGCAGGGGTCCTCAAACTCCAGCCCCCCCAGATGTTGCTGAACTATAACTCCCATGATTCTCTGGCTATGTAATTCAAAGAATCATGGGAGTTGTAGTTCAGCAACATCTGGAGGGCCACAATTTGAGGACCCCTGGTCTAGAGGAAGTGAAACATCTAAGGGGATTAGGCAGAGAGAGCAGTATCTAAGGGAGATAAGAAAGAAAGAGACAGGAAGGTAGTAGGAAGAACACATACATATTCTCCTGCATTCACATACCAACATTCCATACAAATACACTACTCCATTCACATGCTACATAATTCCCTATAAATAACCCCCTGCACTCACACACATCTGTTCTACATTCTAACAGACAGTACATTTGTACATTTACACTGCATTCAAATAAACGCATGCCTTTTCTCACTGGCATTACCTAAAATATACTTGTAGTTATGCACATATCATTATTACACATATACCTCCCTTCTTTGACACATACATAGATAATCAGTAATGAACTATAAATACAGTACTGCATTATCATTCTTGCAGTAGAGAGATTGCATACCCCAATTCCCAACAGTTTCACACAATATAAAAAAAATAGTATAATATATACACACACACAAATTTACATATATTTCTAGATTTCATTAGGGTTATTTTTTTTAAAGCTACTCATAATAATAACAGTCATATTTAAACAATCTGAAATATGTGTATCTGTGAGGGATTTACCATTTTATTGTTCAATTAAGATGATGATAAAGGATGGATGATCACTGATGGGCATCATTACTATATTTGGCATATAGTAATGATTTAGGAGGAAATCAGAAGATATTACTATATTCGGCATATAGTAATGATTAACTCTTGGTCACTTTTTATGAAAGTGGAATATTTAGAAGCTGTATATGTATTAGAAACTTTCCTCAAATTATATTATATACCATCAATTCTTTGCTATTCTACGTGGGAAGACTATCAAGCAGTGAGGTATTAGAGATGATTTGATGAATCAGTCAATTTAAGTGTTATAGCACAGTGAAGCAATTCAATAAAAACCTTTCATAGCTCTACTCTTTCTAATAAATTCATACGTAAGCAATCATGCCTTTTAATAAAAATATAATTTACAGTTAGTCAATACCTTTGAAAATAGGAACACATTTAATATGAACCATAAATAAGAAGTCAGATGTTTGAACATTGTATACCATAAAATAAAAAATGTAGCATTTATAAAGAAAACAATAGAGAAAAAAAAAATTCAGTTTTGATTAGGAAAAGGCACTTATAACACCCACATATGTGCACAGACACACACAGAAAATAAAAATGAAATAAACATAACAAGCTAAATATGTAGATTCCCCCCAAAAATGATTTTATGCTGTATTCCACACACTAGAGTTATTTACTAAAGTAAGAATTTAAAGTGAATTCAAGGCCATGTAAATTTAAAGCCATACTAATCACACTAGAAGAATAGCTAACTTAGAGAAGCTTTCCAGTTTGACTGCTTTGAACAAAAATGTGAAATTAATTTTAATTTCTCACTTTAGTGAATAATCTTGCAACATTTTAATGGTTAGATGTTGCTATCCACTTATTAAATACATATTTATTATTATTCCAACAAGCCTCCCAATTGTCCCAGAGGTACAATCTATTAAGCATCCTACCCTTCTGTTCCAAATTAGTTCTCTGGTGTTTTGCATCCAGAGACACCAGGGGAGTTTCCTCTGGCAAAACAGCATGAGCACATCATTAGACTTACTTGCTTGGACCCTGGGCACTAGGACAATGCAAAGAGAGAGATCCAGCAGCATATATGCATTATATTTTATATAGGGGGCTAGCTGGAAGGTTATCAGTTATCCTGACATGCTTGATGCCAGGTGCACATGCCCATTTCACTTTCTTGGCGGACCTGCACATTATATGAGTCGTCAACAAAGCAAAATAACTGGTGATGCCCCCTGAGGGCTTACTTATTTGGGACTTATTTTCCTATTTTTATTCGTAAGGTTTTTGTTTTTTTTACAATTCTTTAAACTTAAACTCAGTTTATCATGGACTTAAAATTAATCTAAACTGGTCATAAAGTTGACATCAAAATACAATATGCAATATTGCAGCTTTTATTTATTTTAAAAAAAAATGTAACCCATTAAGGACGGAGCCAAATGTACAAGTTGTGATCCCCCAAAAAATTTAAACAAAGCACAGAATGTGACTATATGTCTGTTCAACAATAATTTACCTCTTTCATATTACGTACACCCATACTTATTATATATCATTTTGTTGAGGAGAATCAGAGCTTTCATTTCATATCAAATTTTTATATATGGAACCAACTTTTTTTGTGAAAAAAATCAAAAAAACATTGAAAAATGACAAAATTTGGTTATTTTTCAATTTTTGCATGGCATTTGTATTGTGAATGTCATAATACTGTTCACTTTTACTGCAATAATACATACACATTTGTATTCAGCAATGTAGCACAGTAAAACAGTACCCCCCATGTACAGGTTTTATGGGTTTTTCAAAAGTTACAGGGTCCAATATAGGGCTTGTCCATTCATTTTATTTACACATATAATTTTTTTAGATTGGTTTGCTGGGCCTATGTTGCATTTGAGACCGTATGGTCAGGGCCAGATTAACAGCCCAGTGGGCCTGGTGCTGATAATTATGACGGGCCTAATTAAAGAATCATATCGACCAAAAACACTAAAACACAAGCGTCATAAATCTGATGGAAATGGTGCTGGAGAGAAAGAATACAGTAGCTGTAAGAAAACACATACCCTATGCTAATCTCCCTCTAATTTATGTTTTCATCTTTCAAGTAAATCCATAACCCCTAACAGCAGTGTCCAGACAAGCAGGAAGTCAATGGGCACGGTAAAAGGGTGTGCCACTGAAACAAATCACGTAACCTGCCAAAAGGGGAGAACATGCCCAAAAAGAGGACATATCTGCCCAAAGAATTTGAAGGCCAGCCTGGCATGAATGTCAGACTGCCTGCCAATCATGCAGCTGGCCAACTAAGGGCATACTATGCAGACAGCACCCTGAGCTTGGCATAAATGCATCGAATGATGCGCTCGCTCAACGCTTTCTAAAGGACTGTCCCCTAGCACTCGCTGGTCCACTTGTCTCCTTAATTTCTTACTAGCAGGCAGACGCTCCTGGTATATAGTCTGGGACAGAGAAAAGTTGTATGTAGTGAGTGTAGAAGAAAGGGAACATGCCACAGTGTTAGAGAGACCAAAGTCAGCATTACCTTAAAGGATCACTATAGGGTCAGGAACACAAACATGAATTCCTGACCCTATAGTGTTAACACCACCATCTAACCCCCTCTGGGCCCCTCATGCCTCCATAAATATAGTAAAAATCTTACTGTATTCAAGCCTGAAGCTGTAGCTCTGCATGCTGTTAGACTCATGCAGAGTTACATCATTAGAATTGGTGGCCTGATCCAATCACAGTGCTTCCCCATAGGATTGGCTGACAAAACGGCAGATCAGGGGCAGAGTCAGCATGATTCAAACACAGCCCTGGACAATCAGCATTTCCTCATAAAGATGAATTGAATAAATTAATCTCTATGAGGAAAGTTCAGTGTCTGCATGCAGAGGGAGGAGACACTGAATGTTTGGATGCATTTTAGGCAGCCATGACCCAGGAAGGATCTCTAACAGCCATCCAAGGAGTGGCCGGTGAAGTTATCACTAGGCTGTAATGTAAAGACTGCATTTTCTCTGAAAAGACAGTGTTTACAGCAAAAAGCCTGAAGGTAATGATTCTACTAACCAGAACAAATTAAATAAGCCGTAGTTCTTCTGATGACTATAGTGTCCCTTTAACTATATTCATTGTCAGCCAGTCCACACAAGTTTTGTTCCCATACATCCCTCTTAAGTTTCCATACTTAAGTAAGAGTATGTGAAAAGTAGTTAGGGTTGCCACCTTTCTTGGAAAAACATACCGGCCTTACTAATTTGTATAATTAAATATGTATGGGTGACATCACATGATGTAAATCACAAGGAGTGACATAAGAGAAAATGCTGTAAAATCACCCAAAAACTACTTAGTTTGATTATGCTGTATAGATGGATTCCTCCCAGTGCCCCCATGTTTCCCAGTGCCCCCATGTGTCGATTACTCCAGGTCTCAGCGTTCCTATGTATCATTGTCTCAGTGCCCCATGTCTCCCAGTGTCCCCTAGTGTCATGTCCCTAGGTCTCCCAGTGACCCTATGTATCACAGTGGCCCTATGTATCACAGTGTCTCAATGCCCCATGTCTCCCTGTGTCCTCCAGTATTCCCATGTGTCTATGTCCCCATGTATGTGTCACTAGGACACTAGGAAGACGGGGAGACCTGGGGAGACCTAGGGACACAGAGACACCAGTGACACTGGGAAACTAGGGGACACTGGCTGGGACACACGGGGACACTGGGAAAATAGGGGACACTTAAAGACATGGGGACACAGACACTAGAGACACTGGCTGGGGGACATTGAGACATGGGGGCACTGGAAGACATGGGGACACTGAGACACCACGGCCACAGACACTAGCTTGGAGACATGGGGACATTGAGACACTTGAGGCACTGGGAGACATGGAGGCAATAGGAGACATGGGGACAGTGAGACACTGGGAGACTAGGGGTCACTGGGAGACTAGGGGGCACTAAGACACCAGGGACACTGGCTGGGAGACATGGGGACACTGGGAGACATGGGGACACTGTGTCCCCATGTGTCTGTGTCATAATGTCTCCCAATGTCCCTTAGTGTCTCAGTGTCTGCCATAATGTCTCCCAGTGTCCCTTAGTGTCTCAGTGTATGTCTCATTGCAGCCTTTCCCCCATCCCTTACTTCCCTGAGCTGTAGGCTGTCTCTGCAGGGTGGGAGTTGCTGTCTGGACTCTCTGTAGCTGCACCCCTGCAGATCAGTGAGTATAGATAGGCAGGGAGGGATATGCTTGAACTTCCTATCCCTGCCTGTCTCCACACACAGCGACCCCTACTGGCCAGTGCTGGTATTGCATAGTAATCTCTTGTTTATACTGAGAAAAATACCAGCATTTGTATTGCCAATATCACTGCAATATTGGCACCAGCCAGGCAGCCTCAAATACTGGTTGTGCCAATAAAATAAAAGCCAGGTGGAATCCCTAAGAGTAGTGTGTGAAATAAAAAAATTAAAAAAAAAAATATTTTTTTTTTTTAATCAATTGGCCTATTCCATGCGCCTGGGCCTGGAGCTGCAGCTCCATCAGCCCCTATGTTAATCCGGCCCTGCGTATGGCAGCCCAGAAATGAAAATTACCCCCATCATGGCATACCATTTGGAAAAGTAGACATCCCAGGGTATTCAAAATGGGTTATGTCCAGTCTTTTGTAATATCCATTTAGTTACAAACAGTAGCCAAAGTTGGTGTTTAGATTTTCTTTTTTGCATTTTTCACATAGAAACTTTACTTTTAGTGATGATATTATTGTTCCTATGCATTCTACTGCTCTGAAATACTCACATTTCTGGTCAGTGATGTCTCACGAGTACAACGGAACCCCCCATGTATATGTTTTATGGTGTTTTCGAAAGTTACAGGGTCCAATATAGGGCTTGTCCATTGATGTTTTTACACATAGAAATTTGGTAGATTGGTTTTCTGGGCCTATGCTGCCTTTGAGACCGTATGGCAGCCCAGAAATGAAAATTACCTCCCGTCATGGCATACCATTTGGAAAAGTAGACATCCCAGGGCATTCAAAATCGGTTGTGTCCAGTCTTTTGTAATAGCCACTTAGTCACAAACAGTAGCCAAAGTTGATGTTCAGATTTTTTTTTTTCTGCATTTTTCACATACAAATTGTACTTTCAGTGATGATATTATCGTTTTTATACATTTCACTGCTCTGAAACACTCACATTTCTGGTCAGTGATGTCTCACGTGTGCAATGGTACCCCTATGTATGCGTTTTATGGGGTTTAATATACATCTTATCTATTTATGTTTTTACACATTGAAATTTGGCAAAGTGATTTTCTGGGCATATGTCGCTTTTGAGAACATATGGCAGCCTGGGTAATAACATTTCCCCTATTATGGCATACCATTTTCAAAAGTAGGTAACCCAGAGTATTCTAAATGTCATGTATTGATATGTTTGGTGTAACCAGTTTTTAGAAATGCTAGGCCCACATAGCGGTTATAGTTTTATTTGTGCTTTTTCACACACATTAACTCAATTTCCACAGGTTATTTCATATTCCTGATATGAGTTAGTGCAATAAAGCCTCAGTATTTTGTTTCAACATTGTCTCCTAAATATAACAGTAACAGTTTTTCAGTTTTTTGGGGGAAGTCACAGGCACAAATATATTAGATGTCCATTTCAAAGTTGGAAATTTGGCAAAGTGATTTTCTGGTCCTATGTCACTCTTGAGAGCGTATGACAGTCTGGGTAATACAATTTCCACTATTAAGGCATTCCATTTTCAAAAGTAGGCAACCCAGAGAATTCTAAATGGTGTGCATTGATGTGTTTGGCCTAACCCCTTTATCAGAAACGCAGGGCCAGATAGCAGCTGTAGTTTTATTTGTGCTTTTTCAAACACAACTCAATTTCCACAGGATATTTCATATTCCTGATATGGATTACTGCAATAGAGCCTCGGTATTTTGATTACACATTGTTTCACGAATATAACTATACCCCCACGTACCATTATTTCAATTTGTTTCGGTAACTCACAGGGCCACATATTTTAGATGCCCTTTTCAGCTTGTAAGTTTGAAAATGTGTCACTTTTGACAATGTGTCACTTTTGAGAAAGTATGGCAGCCCAGGAGAGAAAATTACACCCATGATGGCATAGTATTTTTAAAAGCAGGCAGCCTGGGGTATTCCAAATGGCATAGTTTGAGTTGTTTGGTCTAGCCACTTTAACTGACATGCAGTGCATATGTAGGGATTTATACTTTTATTTGTGTTTTTTTACACACATTTTCACAGGAAATTTCATAATGTTGAAATTAGTTAGTGCAATAAAACATCAGTATTTTTTATTTAAAATTGTCTCCTGAATATAACAGTAACCTCATTTACCATTTTTGCAGGTTTTTCACAAATAGAACAGTACCCCCACATACACTTTGTTCTGAAGGCGAGAGAGAGAGAGTTCTTTGATCTCACACAGAGAGTCACTGTGAAAAGTTTGAGAAGTTTAAAAAAAAAAAAAAAGCAATTTTTATTTCAGTACTAATCACAGTATTAACCCTGTGATTAGAGTTTTACTTTGTAAAGTCACATTTTAACAAGTACTACAAATGTAGTATTTTGAGTTGTGTGGTGTAGCCACTTTAGAATGGCTAAGGTAAACAGGGACAGGCCAAGGTCAGGGGAATCCAGAAGTCAGCGCAGTCGGTAAAACAAGCCAATGAGTCGGTACAGGTAGCTCACAAAGTGTAGTCAGGACAAGCAGAGGTCAGGGAAATCCAGGGAAATCAAACTGCCAAAGCACCATACAGAGTGATTTAGTAGTTCAGCTCTGTATGGTAGACTTTGAAACAGTCTGTTATGCAGAGGGCAGGTAGGGATGGACAGGAGGGACAATAATAACTGGAGTCCTTTCAGACTCCTCTTTTCCAGCAAACACTGGAAATTTTTTCTTGGCGTGATCTTTTACAGGGTTTGGTGGCGATCCGGGAAGGGAAATGTTTGCTGAAAAGTCTTTGGGCATCTTTGGATTCCAAAGGAGGGTTATGATTGGGGGCCTGAGCAAATACAATTTGAGACAAAATTTGCACCATAAACTCTAGAAATGGGTATGGTCTGCCTATGGCTTCCTTTTTATAAAGCACATAGGAGTTGAAAATTGCAATCTGGGTTACGTAGATTGCAATTTTCTTGTACCAGGTCCTACTCTTTCAGTTCACCAGATAGGGCTCTATGCATTGGTCAGCCAAGTCTACTCCCCCCATAAACTTGCTGTAGTCTACAAGGCACTTCAGCTTCTCCAGTTGCTCAGTTCCACCTCTCACAGACACTGGCACTGAAGTTTTGTTGTGCACTGTAGACAACATGATTATATCCTTCCTATTGGTGACGCAAAGGGCAAACAACTTATCCTGGCAGAGCGCTGAAATGGAGCCTGTACTGTGTTTGCCACTTGCCAGGATTTGGGGGAAACCTCTGCGATTCTTCCGCACTGTGCCACAGGCTAGGGTTTCAAAGCAAAATAAAGTTTTAAATAACTCTATGCTTGAATAATAGTTGTCAACCCTTAGCCTGTATCCCTATTTTAACAAGGGAAGGATTAGGTCCCATACTATTTTGCCACTTGTACCCACAGAATCAGGGCATCCTGGTGGGTCAAGATGGCTATCCTTCCCCTGATAAATACGAAATGTATATCCAGATTTGGATTTGCACAATTTGTAAAATTTTACACTGTATCGGGACCGTTTAGAAGGGATATACTGCTTAAAAAGTAATCTACCCTTAAACTTCATTAGGGATTCATCTACACAAATATTTTCTTCAGGGACATAATTTTGGGAGAATTTGTCTAACAGGAGTTGGATTAGGGGTTGCATTTTGTAGAGCCTGTCAAACAATGGGTTGTTTCTGGGGAGGCACAGTGCGTTATCGTTGAAGTGGAGGACACGCAGCAGCTGCTCATAGCTTTTTCTCTTCATAACCCCTGGGAAAAGAGGGGTAGCCAGGATGGGGTTAATTTTAATATTAATATTTGTGTATTTATCAGTTTTGCATTGTGTTCAACTATAATGTACATTTTTGCATTTATTGTTCCCATAATGTATATCTTTCCTTTTCTTTTGTGTAGATTTCGATGCATTGTTTACCCCTTCAAGCAAAAACTGACAATATCAACAGCTGTCGTCATTATAGCAGTTATCTGGGTTTTGGCCATTGCTATTATGTGTCCCACTGCTGTTATGTCTCATGTAAAAGAAGATAAACATTTTAGGGTTGTCCTTAGTGGTAGCAATCAAACAAATCCTATTCAATGGTGTCGTGAGGATTGGCCAAATCCCCAGATGAGAAAAATATATACAACTGTTTTGTTTTCTAATATATATCTTGCTCCATTATCACTTATTGTTATTATGTATGCTAGGATAGGAATCACTTTATTTAAGAGTGAAATAAATATTGAAAATAAGAATCATCAGCAACAAAGGCATTCAGTTTCTCGTAGAAAGAGAAAAGTGATCAAGATGCTCATTATTATTGCCTTGCTCTTTATCCTCTCTTGGTTGCCATTGTGGACCATAATGATGCTCTCGGATTATGCCAATCTAACAGAACACCAGTACCAAGTGATTAATATATATGTTTATCCCTTTGCACACTGGTTAGCATTTTTTAACAGCAGCATCAATCCAATTATTTATGGTTTCTTCAATGAGAACTTCCGGCGTGGTTTTCAAGCTGCCTTCAAGTTACAGCTATGCTCTGAAGAAATGGAGAGAAGATCCATGTACTCTCACAGGGCTCAAGGAAATGCCATTTTGCCAGCAGGGTCCCATAATCAAGGACACCAAGACTCCACATTTGAAAAACAAAGTAACAATGAAAGAGAATCTGACAAAAGAAAGCCGTTAACGAGTGATGAAGACTTGATAATGGAAGATTTGGAAAAGAATTCAAATAACAACAGGATTCGAAAAGACATGGTTTAAGGGACATCAAAATTCAGCTTTTAAAACAAATGCACATATGATAAGCAAAGACTATTTACAGTTTGTGTTCCATAATGTGATTAGCTAAATCATTCAAGGAAGAAGTACAACATGCAAGTCCATGATTAAAAATGTCATTTGTATCATGTACATTTTGCGTGGGTGTTCATTTAAAGGTGTGAATATAATTACTTTATGTTATGCAAATCTGCAACAAATTTGAGAGAATTGTAAATAAAATCATTGCTATTTTTGATGACAATGTCATAATTTAATGATACTTGGTAATACAAGTTGACTATCAATATTACTAATTGTAAGGATTGGTAAACATTTTCTTCATCAAAGAAATCAAAAATACAAAACCAGATCTCACTACTTGGTGAGCAAAGCATACTATTTTCTGGGCTCTTGTATATACATTTGTGTATGCACTTTTTAAACCCCAGTGACCATATGTAAGGACATATGAGATTTAGACATTAGTATATGAGCAGGCACATACACAAATTTATTTACATAAGCAGAATTAGTGATATCAAGAGAAATGCATTATGACATAGAAAAATAGCATGACATTTATGTGGTGCACAAACTTTCACTTTCACTTGCATTGCCTAGCATTTCTAGAACCAAAAAGGGAAATTAGTGTGGAACTGGTGTCAGTGAGAGCATAATAGCATGTTCTCTCTTCTTTGATTTACCATGATTCACCATGTCTTGCCCTCACCCCTTCTCCTGTCCCCCCTCAATGACAGCTACCTTCCTCTTGTAATCCTCGGTCCTATAAAATAGTCCCTGTATACTTGCCATGTACACAATTTGTGACTACTTTTGGCCCTTGAGAATGTTGTATTCCTAAGTATGCCTTCATTTTTGTGTCAACAAAATATGTACATCCAATTTGTTTTTGGGTTTTGTTCCCGACAATAGTTACCTACTTTAAAACCTGGTTGAGCATCATATGAAAGACAGTATACAAATATTTGCAGTGCCAAAATTGGGCATGTTTTGTTAACTGCACTTTCCACAATACCCAGCCAGCCTAGAGCCTTGTTGAGCATCATGGGTAATACATGATAGTACAATACATTTAGCAATGTATAGGAAAATTATGAGTTAATAATTAGTAAATAATAGTAAATAACAAGTTCTCTGAAAAAGAATCTTAATCATTAGCTTAGTAACAGTCACTGTTCATAAAGAAAGTTTTTAAAATATGGCAACTGTTGGTCAGATCTTTGCTTTTTTAAGCTGATTATAAATATTTTCTTTTGAAACAATATTTTGTGGGTCACTTCTCATTTATCTAATATTTATAATAATTATTGCCCATTCACAACTAGGAAAAGGCAAATTATTTGTTAGTGCTGACATATTTGTTAAATAAAAAAAGAAAACTGACTATCCTCTGACTATACTCTTCAGTAACAATTTTCATGGAATATATTTAAAGAAGCATACCTTTTTTAAGATTACAATTTCCTCCCACACGTGTGATCTTGTGATCATTGTAATTAAATATTCCTATGTGAGAATGTGTCATGATTTTCTTTAACTCTGCTTTGGGAATTAGATCAATGATTCATTTGAATTACCATGTGTATTTTGTTCATATAATCAATTATTTTCTTCACAAAACACCAACTGCTCATTTGACTTAAATTCTGTAAATAAATGTGCATAGCCTGGGGGCTGGTATACAGGATCTACAGAACATTTGTGTTGTACTCTCCAGCATGAGCAAGCATACGGCACTGACGTCCGCTCCTGGCAGATGACGTTCCAGGAGCCCAATAGGACCTTGAGGAAGATGATGCTAGTGCCCAGGAGTGATATGTTCAAGTAAATAAAAACTACAATTTCACTTACCTGTAAAAACCCATGGCCACCACAATAGAAGAGAAACAGTCACCATCAGGGGTCTTTGCAAAGTATTCAAATACCCTAGATATGACAGATCTGCTTTAATGATTTCTATTGATCATTCTATGGTAAATTTAAAGAAAAATTATATATGTAACTGTCAAATGTGTTATTTTATGCATATAAGATTTATTTTCTGTGCACTTCACATCTAAGGTAATATTTGAAATTGTAAAAAGTTCTTGGTGGATGGTCCAATTACTAAATCATGAAAGTAAAATAATAAAATTTGTTAAAATGTTGATATGATTTATGAATGATCTAAACCTTTGAAGAATATTTTAGTAAAGCATTTTAGCATCAATATTTTAGCATAAATATAGATAATATTTATGTGTAGTCCAAAACTCCCAGCCATTAGGTTCATATGGTAGAGCCATTTTCAAGTGAAACAATCAAACCAAAAGGTCTTTTTAAATATATGATTTAACCACATCATGACAAAGCTCAAAGCCATTAGGGGCATAAGGGTGCGCCATTTGTAAGCAAAAGAGACAAATCAAGAGTTAACCAAATGATCTAACCACAGCATTCCCAAATGATCTTACAATGCTGCTGTTAGGGATTCCATGTCATATACCGGTAGTTTGTCAACCTTGGACTGTCACTGCTGAATGCCAGGAACTTTCTCCTGTATCCACATTGCTTGTATATGGGTGATTTACAATGTTTAGGACATGTCTTTTCTTTGTATTTAGAAACTGAAAGGGAAGTATAATATAAGAGCATTGAATATGGATCAATTTCCCAGAGCCGTGTTAACCTCTTTGTGCATTGTCTTCCAGAAGATGGCAATGTTGGGGCATTCCGACCACAAATGACAGAAGATACCCCTGCACCACCAACAATTATAAGGTGCAGATAAAATCCATTTATTCATAAATACCATCTTGTCAATAGCTTGTAGTTGCCCTCCTGTATATAAACTTACTTAATCCTGCACAGAGGTACTTAATTGACACGCACACGTGTCAACCTTAAGTTCATGATACGTTTGTTGATCTTGCATAAAATATATGTGTCGGCAACTCTCAGATGGAAACTATAATTTTGACTCCTAGTTGTGTGTCACCATGGTGAATGCAACTGTAAAATCTATTTAAACAGCCTGCTCAATGCTAATTTTTTATAAGGCTTTTATCTTAAATTGGCATCTAGTCATTGTTCTTGAAATTGGACCTCTTGCAGATCTAAAGCTGTAAAATTACTATAAAACATTTCCAATATATGATAAAAATTTAAAATATCATCAATAATTTGTTTAATTTTACCTAGATAAATACTTATCTGGGATCGTTTACCACTGCATAATGGTTTTAATTGATCATTCTCATATAATCTCAGAGAAGAAAATAACCTAGTAAATTTTGAATACTATATCTTACGAATAAAATTACAGGGATACTTTTTTGTACTTGTCATTTGAAGCATTCATTTGAAATTGTAAGCAGCCTTCAGTATAATTTAAGACTGCCAAATCATGAAAATGAAGTGACTGTATTTGTTATAATGCTAATGTGCATTTCAAAATAATTCCTGTACCAGTTTTATAGTCTTCATGTTAAAAATACTATTGTAATCATGCAATAGTATGCATGTTATTCATTGGGTGCATATCTACTAAACAGTGATTTTATGGGGGGGTGAGTTTGCAGAGTGTTCATTTAAATAATTATTGTTACTGAAGTACTTCAGTAAATTTACCCTTTTATTGTGTGAAAAGAAACACTAGGGAGTGAAATGCAGCTTATTGAATTTATTTTTTTACACATATTAAAAATATATACTTTTATTTTTTGGGATCTGTGGAGGGAGGCAGATGGTGCAGGGAAGAAGGGATCTGTGCAGGGGAGGGAGGGGGACTGTCAGGGTGCAGGGAAGGCATGGGGAGAGGGTATCTGTACAGGGGAGGGAGGAGATCTGTGCATGGAGGAACACAAACAGTCCAAGTACAGAGAAAGGTGGCTGTGCAGGGGGAGAGGGGATCTGTACAGGGGAGTGAGGGGGACTGTCAGGGTACTGAGGAGGCAGGGAGAGAGGGGATCTCTTCAGGGGAGGGAGAGTGAGAGGAGATCTGTGCAGGGGAGTGAGGGGGAGAGGGCATCTGTGCAGAGGAGGGAGGGGCTCTGTGCCGGGCAGGGAGGGGAGAGGGATATGTGCAGGGAGTGAGGGGACTGTCAGAGTACACCAGAGGGAGGGGGATCTGTGCAGGGGAGGGAGGGGGAGAAGGGTTCTGTGCATGGGAGAGGGGAGATCTATTCAGGGGAGGGAGAGGGGATCTGTGCAGAGGAGGGAGGAGGAGAGGGGAGCTCCTGCACAGTTCCCCTGCACTGCTCCCCTCTCCTCAGGGAGGCAGGGGAATCTGTGAAATTTCAGGGGAGGGAGGGGGGTTGTCAGGAAAGTAGGGGAATCTGTGAAAGTACAGGGGAGGGAGGGGGAGAGGGGATGTATGCAGGGAGAGGGGCTGCCAGGGAGGCACGGGTTATGTGAAAGTGCAGAGGAGGGAGAGGGGATGTGTCCAGGGGAGTGAGGGGGACTGTCAGGGTACAGGGGAGGGAGGAAAGAGGTGATCTGTGCAGATGATGCAGGGGGGGAACTGTGAAGGGGAGGGAGACTGTTAGGGAGACGGGGGTCTGTGCAGGGGGTGAGGGGATATGTGGAAGAAGGGATCTCTGCAGGGAGGGGGGCTGTGCAGGGAGCGATGGGATCTGGGAAAGTGCAGGGGAGGTAGGGAGAGAAGGGATGTGTGCAGGGGAGTGAGGGGGACTGTCAGGGTACAGGGGAGGGAGGGGGAAGGGGGATCTGCAGGGGGGGGGGGGGGAGAGGTGATCTGTGCAGATGATGCAGGGGAGAGGGGATCTGTGCAGGGAGGGAACTGTGCAGGGAGGGAGACTGTTAGGGAGATGGGGGTCTGTGCAGGGGGTGAGGGGATATGTGGAAGAAGAGATTTGTGCAGGGAGGGGGCTGTCAGGGAGGCAGGGCGATCTGTGAAGGTGCAGGGGAGGCAGGGGGAGAGGGGATAGGGGATGTGTGCAGGGAGGGAAACTGTCTGGGAGGCAGGGGGATCTTTGAAAGTGCGGGGGAGGGAGGGGGGACAGGGGATATGTGCATGGGAGGCAGGGGGAGAGGGGATCTGTGCAGGGAGATGGGCTGTCAGGCAGGCAGGGGGATCTGTGCAGGGGAGGGAGGAGGGGGAGGGAATGTGTGCAGGGGAGGCAGGGGATAGGGGATCTGTACAGGGATGGATGCTGTCAGGGAGGCATGATGATCTGTGCAGGGGAGGGAGGGGGAGAGGCGATGTGTGCATAGGAGGCAGGGGGAGAGGGGATCTGTGTAGGGAGACGGGCTGTCAGGGTGGCAGGGAGATCTGTGCAGAGGAGGGCGGGACTAGCAGGAGGCAGGGAAAGAGGGGGGCTGTGCAGTGAGGATGGGGCTGGGAAGAACTTACCTGGTGTCTCTGCCAGGCTGCTCTTCCTCTTCACTTCGCAGGACAGGAGAGCACAGGAAGAGACCTCACTTCCCATCCTCCTGCCCCGCCTTTTGCCCTCTCTCTGTGCACCGCACAGAGACCTGGCAGGTAGAGCAGGATTACTGCCAGGTCTCACTTAGAAGGTGGGAGGAGGAACCTTGCCGCCCCCACAAATGTGCCACGCCCCTCCATAACCCCCCTTGCTACACCGCTGCACTTAACAGATGTTTAAAATACATTTTATAGTTTCAGCTGCCATACCTAATCATCATTGCTTTTGGTATTGCTTGAAATGTAGACATCTTTGATTTATTTTAGTTTAATTTACATTATTTAATGATTAAGTAAATATAAAAATATAGCTAAAATCTAAATGTAAGCATTGGTTGCTTTTCCTTAGTCTGTCTTTTTCTTAATGATAACATGACAATGCTGGCTCCCCTTCTCATCATGACCACATACACCCATAAGTCCATGTCAAACATTTGTGTCTTTGCAAGTATGTATGAAAAATAGTCGGTGCATGTAGAAATGCAAGGCGGGAAGTATATCATTTAAATGTAATGGGACACTATGAGCACCAAAACAACTTTAGCTTAATGAAGCAGTTTTGGAGTATAGATCATGCTTTCCAGTCTCACTGCTCAATTCTCTGATTCTTAAGAGTGAAATCACTTTTGTTTCTGTTTATGCAGCCATGGTCACATCTTCTGTTTAATTTATAACGTGTTA